TTCTTCCAAATCGGTGAGAAGGATTGGATTCTGTAGGTGCTGTCTTTCTCCAAGGGATTTTATTGTTGCTGTGAGATTAATTACTCCGGTGCCAAACTCCACGATCGTTTCCGGCTTGTCTTGCTGAACGGGAGGGATTTGCTTCGCCTTGGCTATCATAGCTCGGATGATGTGTTCCTTCTGACCAAATCGTTTCTCCAACACTTTCATCACTTCCGAGAGTCCGTTCGGTGACACTAACATGCACTCTACACTTTTAGCCGCCTCGCCTTTCAAACACTTGCGGAGGCGCTCAATGTTCTCTGCATCGGAGAATCCGCATGCATCCGTTGTCCTCTGGTAGGACGCGATAAATGCAGGCCACTCCTCGGCTCTGCCACTAAAGCATGGTAGATCACGTCCTATTGTTTGACGAATGATCATCTTATCAGTTCTGTTGTTGCTGTCTGAATCTTTATATGCGATTGTCTGCAGCGTTCTTGCCATCATCTCCAAAATTTGATTATTACTGGCCTGCTCAACCTGGTGTTGTGGGGCTAGCATATTCACTCGAGATGTGGGTGGTGGGGAATCTGGTGCACGGGTTCTGAAGTCACTCTGATATTCATTCTCATTGATGAATCGCTCTTCATCTGATCCTAGGTGTTGCTCTTCATCTTCGTCGATCTGAGCAAACCCGGCTGCTTTCACTTTCTCTAACTGAATAATATCATTCTTCAGTCGTTGCACTTTTCCTTTGGTTCGGGCAGCCAAAATCTTGTGATCTGCCACTTTCAATGCCCATTTTTCGCTAAGAACTTCAATTTCTTGCTTGAGATGAGCCACAGCTTCTTCTTTATATAATGGATGAGTGGGGTCGCACTTTGATTGCATGGTGCTAACAGCTAACTTCAAACTGTCCACCTCCGCTTGAGAGACCTCCAACTCTTCTAGTAATTCGGTCATCTGATTTTCCTTTTCGGTGACCTTCTGTCCATGTTCAGCTTCCAAATTCGCTCTTCGCGTCGCTGATGACACTGACGACGATGATGGGGTTGGTGACTTCTTTCGTCCAAACGGGTTGAAGCTGAACATCTTGCCCAAAATTGACTCATTTTCAGATTTCACTGGAGTCCTACCAAGGTGTTTACTTTCTCCGTCTTCCAAATTCCCCTGCTCCAAATCTTCTTGTCGTCTTGCATTCTTCTTAGAGTTGTCCCACGACGGCTCGTACCGATCTGGCTCCTTCCTGTCGCGGTCACTCCTCCTTGGTTGATTCTCGTCCTCATTCATGATGGTACCGAGAAACAAATAATAAGAACGAGAGAGAATAATCAATCGGTGCACTCAACAACAGGCGACTGGACCTAGATAATCTTCTTTCTCTTCTTCACAATCCACAATAAATGACAATGATTAAAACTGGAAAGATCTCACCCAATTATCCCCCCGAACAGCTCAGGGTGGGGCCCACGAAGTGGCAAAATTCGATGGTGAGTCTTCCTCCTGCAGCACGAACTTGACTTCCCGGTCACGGCGGTCGTCTTCTACACTTATCCTTCACTAATACACGCCACACTATCCTGGCAAGGTCGCCAAATGCTAAGAATGCTGCCTTATTCTACCCGAATAAGGTCACTCTACTAATGCCCGATGTGTGCTACGTGTACTAGTTACCGATGATAAAGTATCGGAGACTGCCCAATTACTGGGAATAGTTAAGTTGGGAGTGATTGTTAACTTTACTAAATATTTATTGGAAACCAAACATAAAATAATTCCAATTACAAAATGATCCCACGGATCCTAATAATTTATACGTGCTTCTTCCTCAAAAGCCAAGAGAAGAGACTAAAAGTGGTGAGGAAAAGAACAAAGACAGACGCGCAGAGAGAAAGAAACTCCCTCCAACTTACAATACTCGCCAGAGGGCGACTAAACTATGAAAGACAAAGATGAAGTAAACGATGAATTCCTTCAGTTACCGTATTGTTTAAGCATTCCCGTTGTAAATAAGTACTTGTGTTTGTGTCGATTACTTGCAATATTAGTAACAATGGAACAACGACGAAGAGAGTTCACCAAATGATAGTGACATATTAAATATATGAAAATTAAGGTCGAGAGTGCAACTTCCGGTGAAAATAGTTTAAAACTATTTTTCATTCTTTTAAAGTTGGTAGTGTGGGACTGTAAACTAGTGAAATCAGAATATTTATAATTGGATCAATAGCTTGTAAAAAAAGTAGTGTCAAGTAGTTATAAGATGCTCAAAATAAGCTTTTTTCCACTCACTCATGTTCTAACAGGAAGATAACAGTGGCAAATTTAGATACTTTCGAAATCCAAGAATGTCCCACTTCTTATAACTTTTCAATTCAAATTAACACGTATTTACTTAAACGATGATAAATCTTTGTTAAAATTGAAATTCTAAGATTTACATTATTTTGTTGCTGTTAAAACTCACATAATCTTAATAACCAGTAAATTTATTTTGGTCCGTTTATTAATTGAAGAATTCTGACGAGCATGTTAAAAAATTTGTTTGAGGGAAATGCCAATTTTAAATTTGACTAGAGTTAAATTCGTAATATTTACCGAGGTAGGTATTGTTCTTATGTAAGCTAAAGGGAGTTTATGTCAGTAATGTTGAACTAGTAGAATGATTTTCAGTTTCAGTTTCAATTACCATAATTTTCATTTAAGAATGCACGGCGAACTTTTATATTTACAAAGTTTACAAAATTTTGTAACATTATCTGAATACATATATTTGAAGTACAAATTGTGCCCTTAATTTTGTAACAATTTGCAAAATAATTTATCACTGATTGATTACTCAGTTTATCAATTTACAAAAGTAATGTTATCAACTCTGCATAAATTTTGAGCTTCGTCAAAAACTTGATATAAATATTTTCAAAACGTGCTTTGAAAATGTACATAAATTATCTAATGAAAATGCGAAGCTTCTTAAAACGTTTAGAAACAAAATGCATTTTAGCAAAAATAACACTTAATTGGTAAAATTCAGCTTGCACATCGAAATATTGGAAAATTACCCGAATCATGGACATTAATTTTTGTAGTCTCAATAAAAAAGAAGTCCAAAATTACAATTTCTTGTTCCAAGTTTATCATTCAATTCATTTTATTTGCAAATTTTATAATTTTGTTTTCTATGATGATTTCATTTTCCTTGTAACGAAACACAATTCCAATTTACACTGAATGACGAACAGTCAAAAATGAACCAGTCTCAATTTTCCTCTCAAATTGAGAGTCTCAATCCATAAACGCTCAAATTCGTCTCTTGAGATTGCCGAATTATACAGTTGAGTGAATAACGAGGATAACACAAGAATGCATTTCTGCAATATGCATGCAAAAATGGAAGCATTTTATCAGCACAAGTGCCAATTTGAGGTATCTTTAAGCAGACGGCTTCTCAAGTGTTGTTAACTTGTCGAAATAATGTGCAACCATTATCTCTATTTTTATCACAACGGTGCCAAACAAGGGTAATAATGGGGTTGTTAAAATGTTAATTTTTTGCTACTACACAAAATGATAATAATATTCGCAATATGGGAAGAAGTCAGGTTAATATTTGTTAAGAATTTAAAATGAGAATTAATAAATAAAATTGAATTCAGTTTCAATACGCCAACGGACACGATTTGATATTTACAAATTTATTGTGAAAAGTGCATTAAAATGCATTTCCTCATTTTTGGCACATTTTAAAGACGTATGAACAAACACATTTTCTTTCAAGCAATAGAGAAATAAAAATATTTATACGAGATTTTTTTATATCATAAAATTATCGGGACACTTCACATACTTATCAAGCTTATGGGAGATAATTTTCTACATGATTTTTAAAAAAAAGTCAGTGTTCTGGTAAAAAAATCGTGGAGAACAGTGCAAGAGGGTAAAAATATTTAGAAAGAGTTACGCTACCCATAAAAAAATAAAAGCATTGATTGGAAAGTTTAGTTAAGGTACCACAAGAGAGTTGGCAAGGAATTATACCACTCACTTTGATTGTAATTTTCTCAGAAATTATAGTAGGTAGAAATTTGGTTCAAATACAAATTTTGTAAAAAATATACTGCTCTAAATTTTGGTAAATGTCCCCTTCTGCTGTTGCTTATACTTAAGTATTTATAGCCAAAATAGTCGAACGTGATGATTGTTTTAAAACGTCCTAGCGTCAAAACCATCCGGAGCACAAATGTGCGACGATTCCCATATCGTGCGAAATAGTTGTATATGGGGAGCATAATGGGTCTCATTTCCATATTGTCCTCCATACTTTTCGAAATAGTATTTCTACACTTGCCCCTCCCTATTATTTTATGTTTCTGAGGACAAAAATGGTTCACATCTCATTACCCGACACAAATGAGCCCACAAACCGATTATACACCCTGCAGAAATATATAACGACTATGACCATTATGACCTCAAAGTCCTCCCCCTCCATCTCGGGGAGCTCTTAAAAATACCCCAATGCCCTTGTTTCTATGCGGAGCTGTACTTCATGTCTTGACTCATGTTCTCTAAAAAATCATGTTGCTAAGTCCATAAAAAATTGAAATATTCAACCTCTTGTGGTACCTTAAGGTAACTGATTTTGGAGGTTGGATTTCAAAGAATCATGACATTTTTCGAAACATGGTCGAAACCTCACCACAACTATTTCTGACTATCACACTGCAAAATTTGAAATTTTTATCTTAACAAATGTATGAGATATCAGTAGATGAAAAGTGCCAGTATAATTTTTTGATACATTTTTCTCATCATCCAAGTTTTGCTAATTTTGTTTGAACTGTAAAAATTCATTAACATGCAAAAACATTTTGCCAAAATAAAATTGTTTGTTTGTCTCGATATCTTCTTTCTTCAAGTGCATAAAGCTTTGGTTGATTAATCCTTCACACAAATTCTCAAGAGAACAGAAGTACGAAAATGCTGCAACTTAATCAAAACTTTGTTTGCATTTTCAGATCCTTTTTTGCACACTGAACACACACCGAGTCGATATGGACTGTCTCCTCAGCGCACAACTTTGTCTCGACGACTTTATCTTTGTTCACAGAAAAGGTACATATAATAACAAATGTACTTGATGCAAAAAAGAATCCGCTAATTTGTATAGTACAAATAAATTGTCATGCGCAGGTACGAAGAAGGAGGTGGAGGTGACCAAGACGGAGGAGGCGTTGGGGCTCACGATCACAGACAACGGTACTGGCTACGCGTTCATCAAAAGAATCAAAGAAGGCTCCGTCATCGACACCATTAAAGCCATCCAGGTAAAATCTACACAGATTTTTTAAAAAATAATTCAAACATTTTGGACAGAAGATGTTAAAATTTGAACATTTTTTAACAAACTCGGCGAGAATTTATATAAAACTGATGAAGTTATGTGCAAAAAACTTTGACACATTGTCTGTATGTATGTGCAAAAGTCGAAATAAAATACATGCACAATTCGAGTTTTGTAATATTTCAACGACAAAACTTGGTACATACAGATGTAGATATGTAAACTGTCTAATTTACTCTTCCAGGTGGGAGATCACATAGAAAAAATTGGCGATACTTCCCTCGTCGGCTGGCGTCACGTTGACGTCGCCAAATACTTGAAGGAGATTCAGGTCGGGGAGACGTTCACCCTCCGCCTTATTTCCCCCCTCCAGGCAGGATTCTGTAAGAATTTACGTATTTCGAAAATTTATAGCATATTTAAGAAATTTCCGAAAAATTTGATTCTGCAATGTTACAAATTCTCCACATCTACCAACAATCTCAAAACGACTAAATTCTCAAAATTTCACATTTCTTATAGCAAACATCGGCCCCAAGTCGACCAAGAACGGAATAAAGAGCAAGAGCTATGGAAGTGGGAAAGAGACGCTTAGATTCAAAAGCAATGGAACAGCTTCCATTGAACAAGCTGTAATTAAAATTTACATAAAATTTATCACATAAAAATGAGCAATACTTAATTTTCATGTCCATTTCCAGCCTGACGACTATACGCAAGAAGCCATCAACCAGATTAATAAACTTCTGGAAAACTTTATGGGAATTAATGATTCCGATCTAGGTAAATTTTTAAAATTCTGTCGAAAAGATACCCCTTTTTTGAAATTTTATCAAGAATAATTAACTTTTTCTTTACAGCATCGCAAATCTGGGATTTGGCGTCCACAAATACGAACACGATGGACCTCGCCGAAGCCATCGACTCCTCCGACTTGGAAAGTTTCGGGTTTACGGACGAGTAAGTTTTACACATAAAAGGTCAAACTTTTAACTTAAACGCCACCTTAAAGCTTTGACCTTTTCTTAGCTTTATCATCGAGATCTGGGGCATTGTGTCGGACGCGAAGGCAGGACGTCTCACAAAAAGTCGTCTCCAAGAACCGGAAGAAGATGACGATGAAGACTTGTCCTACTTGATGCGAGGCAAGAAGTATACCAATAATAATAACAATAATAATGCCCGGGTAAAGTCTTAAGGTCAAGAGTTACGCGACAACTGTAGAAATGTAATTGTTATATCAGCTCGATTATCGATAAATTAGTTCTTCTTTCCGCTTTCATGATGTAATAATTAAACTATGTACTAAACTGATAATGCGATAATCTTTATTTTAGAGGAAAATGTGACTCCTAATTTTATACGTCTAAACTTACTTATTTGTCGAAATATTCACAAATTGTGAATCACAATGATTAATAAACCAATAAATTAAATTAAAGCCAAGAGATTCAGATTAATGTTAAAAAAATTGGTATTCCCAGAATGAGAAACTACATCTTTATTATTTTTGCGAATTTTTTTGGCAAAAGTTGTTCCCCAAAAATGCCAAACTATCAGCATAACATTGCATATACATTAAGTTACAAGATGAAATCACTCCCAATAGTTTGCACAAAAAGCTTGTCGAGTATTTATGATGATCAAAAATCCCTAACAAGATTTCCACATGCGTCCCCCAAGAATAAATCCAGTCCATTACAACAAACAGATAAATTTTATCCAACAAGAATTTTTTATTCATCATTTCGTACCAAACAGGGAAGATAAATTGATACAGAAATGACGAAATTATCAAAACGAAGTGAAGATGGTGATGATCTAACTGCGCGCCTTCTCGACCTCGAGGCTGGCGAGGTAGGCGGTCTTCTTCTGCTTGACGTGGTGACGTTTCACCTTTCCTGCGAGGCGTTTCAGGTTCCAGCGCTTGTTGACTACCTTGGAGGCGTCCTTCTTCTTGGGTGGCTCAGGGTTAGCGCGGATGGCAGAGTGGGCCTTCTTGTAGATCGTCTCAAGCTGTAAAATTAAAATTAAAATTTAGTCAGGAGTCACTGGTCCACCAAAGTTTAATATAAAAATTGTGGTGGACAAGTCAAATTTGACTACAATTTTAAACTGGGCTCATTTTTTAACGGGAATGAAATAATTGTGCAATTTTGGTAAAATTTACATAAAACTCATGAAGGTAGGAAACTTTCAAATATCTTTTCTTCCTACAGAAAGATTAGGATATATTTTACTGTAATTTGTAGAATTTCTTTCAGGCAAAAAACGCAACTAAAATTTTACATTTTCCCTCAAATTAGTGGAAAATAGACTAATTTTAGTTGTGAGACAAATTCAACACTAATTTCCGATAAAAAATTGGGCCCTTACGTTTTCGGCAACGATTCCCTCCTTGATGAATTTGGAGAATTGTCGTTTGAAAGCTTGCTCGTCGTCGTCGAGGAGGGTTTTCATGTAGTCGGCGACGTGTTTGCCTAGGATGTGGTTTCGGTGAACGTCAGCCTTCAACTCCTTCCCCTCTGAGTCCCATCCAGGGAAGCGCTTTTCACTGGATGACAAAACATTTATTTAGGATTGTTAATTTCTTAGGTTCATCTTCTCGAGATAATTTACCCTTTACTAATTAAACTACTATATTTACGAATGTTTCAGGTCTTAATTTACGGATCGTTTCAGCCAAATATTTTCCATATATATTAATTTTCAACTTTCTAACCTGTGAGGAATATCGAGCCCGCCGTCAACGGCTCCCTTCAACACACCAAAGATCCTCGCGCCAGTTGTCGTTCTGTAAAGACCGACGTCCAATACGGCATGGAAAGGTTTGGGTTGACCGTCCGCCTCCTCGACGCAGTAGTACTCGCCAGTTATGTCTTTCTGACCTTCGTAAATCCCATCAAGACCCAGCTTCTTGAGCAGCTGCAGGGTCATACCGCACAATAAGATCACCCTTATTATAATAATTAATCAATTAACTACAGCACTACTTACCCTTCTCGCGAGCAAAAGTCCGGTACAATATCCAGCAGCATAATTGGTCAGACCGACCTTAACTCCGTAGCGGGGCAGTTCGTGGGCGTAGGCGGCGCAGATAATGACATCCCCCTCAATTCGGGCGTATGCGATCTATAATTGATAACAAGATGAAACATGCGTAAATAATGGTTATGGTTTAGTTATATTCGAATAAAATAACTAATATAAAACTAAATCGAGTCAGTCCCGTCTTGAAAAGCAGACCAGCACGTATGAATATGGAGCTTATTTATCATCATTCTCAATTTATAGGTTATCGGTGTTAAGCACACGATAAGAGAAAAAAATTCTTTAATAACTGTCATTTAATAAAAGAAATCCAAGTTTTTAACCGTTGCTTTCTATCATTCTTATCATACCTGTGCCGTGATGTCCTTGTTGGAGAATCGGACAACCATCCTGTACTTTGGTGTATTGTACTTATTCTTGTCCTGCACGATAAGCCGTTTTCTCGCATAGTAATCCGTTCGCCCTTCACGACGCCTCTTGAACTTGACCTGGAACCGTTTGAAGTAAGCCTTGTTCTTCACCACCTTGACGAAACCCTGTGAAAATAAAAATTAATTAAAATCAATCCTCAAAGTAATTTTACGATAATTTCAGCTCAAGTGGGTTCCCCAATTCGAAAACCACACCTACTGTAAGAGATCTCTCGTTTATTTAGAAAGGTAGACAAGAAGATAAGGGGAAACTTACCATTTTTTCGAAATTTCGAAGAAGAAGTTCGGGAACTTAAACAATCAGAACTGTGGAGCGAAGATGAACGTGGTGGGCCGGCAGTCTGCCTGTTGTGGGAGAAGAGCATGCATGCTTCAATTTTGTGGTGGTGGTTCACTCCCCAGTTCATTCGGGGTCGGAGATGTGGCGCTGCCTGCTTTCCGTAACTTGGTTGGTTGAAATTTTGGCAAGTTGAGAATTCGCGATTTTTGCGAAAAATGGGGCAGACTTGTTGGAATGGAAGTGAGGGATAGATAAAGTAATGCAGATTTAAAATGTTGGAAATTGTGAGTAAATGAGATGACGAACAATTTGTAAAAAATCTTGATAAGATTAAAAGAATTTTTTTTGCGATTTTCTAATTACTGACCAACTCCGTTATTCTCGATTTTCATTTTTTAGTGAAAACTGAGATGTGACAAACTTTGCAATTGTGATTAACATTTGATAAATTAAATTCACATCAAATATTTTTTCATGCATAAAGTTCTCCAATTAAAACAATCCATAAATTTGTTTTCATAGATGGGCAATTCCATGCAAAAATTTTATTTCATTGTCTCAAAAATAGCTTTCCGTATTTACAACGCATAGATATTTTAGCTCTACGTTCTGAAAATTTGCAAGTAAAACTTCAATGTAACTAAACTAATCCAAAATTAACATTTATTAATTAGACTATTAACAATTAATTTCACTAGCATTAGACTAGCCTATGATATTTCGTATCTGAATTGTTAATTATTAATTACTAATTGCCCGACTCCTGAATCCTAAATTAACCCATGATAAATATGGTTATCACTTATTTTCCAACCCCGTTCCAACCAACACATTCCACTCTCTGACGTTATGACCTGTCGCGATGCCCTTTTGAACGTATGGGTCCCTCCGAATAAATTCCTTAACGTCCTCCTCACTTCCTCGAAAGACGAGCGCTGCGCCGTCGATCGGGTCGACGAATGCACCCCCCAAAATCAACTTTCCTCCGGTCGTGAACTCTTTCGCCAATGCCAAGTGCCCTGGACGATGCGGAGCGCGGCGTTCCACTAGATTTTCTGGATTGTACGTGTACGACAACAAATAGTATTTCGCGGCTTGTGGCGACGACCGGGTCGTGGATAAGTGTCGTTGTCTTATCATTGGCTTGATAGAGGTGGAATTAGGTTTCACCCAGGAAGCGAAATTTAATGGGAGTCGCATATTCAGGAATTTAGTAATTATCTGTAAATCAAATATTTATTAAATAATTATTGCATTAAGGCGGAATAGCATGCTGGCTGATGCGGGTTTTTTTGTTTGAATTGTTGTGTCTCAACTTTCCCTTCCTCCATGTATTCAAATGGAGATTTTGAAAAATGTTCACCGCCTTTCGTTTTTAACAATATGAAGATATTAATGCACCTAAAAATCGGTAATTTTTAGGCTTACATAGTTAGGAGATAAAAATTTTGATTTTTTTCTAACTAATTAGTTAATTCTAACTAATTAGTTAATTAACTAATCCTACCTAACTGCAAACTAATCCTAAGCTTCGGACTTGATATACTCTTAACGCCTGAAAAAGAGACAGGCAAAAAGTACAACACAACTTTAAACCGGTTAGTATTTTGTGTATGGATATGTCTCGTTTTTGCTACTTTTTTTATATTCTCAGCAACAACAACATAAACAGGACAGATGACATGGAATCATGGATGTATAGGAATGCATTACATAACTATACATGCCTCAAATCTCAATACACTCAACTCATATACATACAATGTAACTAACGTCATTTACTTAACTTTATGCATATAGGTCCTGTATATTGGACTTACGTAAAGTTTATACCGATAGGTAATAGTGGAACGATTCCCCTATACATATTTAGCTAATTCAGGCATAAAAGTATTATGTATATTTCAAACAATTATCGTTTACCTATGAGAATCAATTTTTCATAAAATTGATTGATGGAAGTTTAATCATCAAACGCTGATCTTTTTAGAGCTAGTTAAAAAAACTGCTCAAAGTATTTCAAAATGAATACGGAAAAATGTCATTGACTGACTAAAACATTCTGGCCAAGCCAAAACCATTTATGTTTTGCAACATTTTGGCAGAGTTTTCATCCAAGGACGGAATCCGTAAGGATGAAAATTTTCATTTCAATTTTTTAATTAAAGTGGATGGACGCTTATATTTTACTGTTCATTTCAATTGGGCTTAAAATTGGTTCTCAAGCATATGAACTTTGCAAATTTTAGGCAGTGTCGTGCCGATGACGAAAATGAAACCACGCAAAACAACATTTCCATCCTGTTTATTTCTTTGTTTAATTCTTGTTTTGAAATCCAGCCATGCATTCAATTTTTTTTACACCTGCTCAGTTTTCATTTAAATATTTATTTCTCACGCATCTTATGCAAATTAGGTAATAGTCGCTACACGTCAAACTACTAAATTTTAATTACAACTAAATCGTATCATCGTAATAATCATACCCAGATTCTCTCAAGAATAATAATAACCCGACATTAATATGCAGTTATCATAATAATCTTTCTTTTACCAACAAACAATGAGCCACTCGACATTTCATAAGTGTTTAATTTAATTAGCATCCCGCGACTGAAAAAGATTAATTCTATTTAATTGACCAGCCAAAAACCTTGAGAAACTATGTATAACTTATAACAGCACTCAAAGTAAGTTAGTACAAAATTGTCACCGAGTGATGCATAATTTTGTCACCAACTTATTTTGAAATGAACCCTAGTTAATAAAAGTTATTAAAAAAGCGATACAAAAAAGGTATAAAAAAGGCAAAGGAAATATTTTAAATTTTCAGAAATATGTATGTATTGCATTTTGACCAATTGTGTAATTATCAAATATTTAACTTACTTATCTTCATATAAAATCAGTCTAAACAGAACGTTTTATCGTATTTTTTTATAATTGTGATACTGATAATATCGTTAATTTAATGTCTTCCCATTTAACTTTAATCACCCATTTACTTTTCTTCAATATCTTAAATATCACAAACGTTCCGAGAAGAGATACATATGTATAAATGTGTTTTTTTGGAGCAATTTCAATTAATACTAATTTTTAAAGCGATACAAAACCCAATAAATTATTAAATAATTAAGTAGAATAAGAGTAAAGTAAGCAGAATTGGCAAGGGAGTTCTTGATAATTAACTAATTGCTATTCTCCAGTTAAATAAATACTTAATGATGATCAGTTTGGATGAAAACTTTTACTTTTTAAAAGCGTTATACTAAACCCAGCACAGAGGAACTTGCATTGTTAAATTCGTTAATTATAAACTAATCATAATTAATCATGTAGTCTGACTTTATAATTATGAAAATGATTGCATTTAATGTTACACATTACAAAAATCTAAACAAAATCCTTCCTTCCATATCACTACCGTTTCCTTGCATGCAAAAAGTCTTATCTTTTTAATAAATTAATTATTCACAAACTAACTATTTAACTAGTAAAATGGTAAGCTTTTGTGGTTAATTAGGCAGTTAAAGGATATTATAAATTATTACTTTTTATAGCAAATACATGTTTATTCTAACCCGGATTTACAGTTTCACTGACAATTTGGTAATTCTGACGACATTATATCCTTAACCAAACACTACACCTGTCTCACTAAAGCGCCTTCTCTCATAATAAATAATAAATACTATGTAAATTAGTAGGAGCACAGCACATATGTAGTTGTTAGTGTGTTACATTACGTGATAATTCACTAAAACTACAAGACATGATTTCACTCTACAAGATTTAAATTGCGGTCTGACGTCGTCTTTATCGAATTTGAACCATTTTCTTCATTAATTACTAATTTTTTCTTCATCCGAAGTAAATTTGATAAGGTGATGATGAATGATGTTAAGACAATCTGGTTTAATTCGCTATCGTCTCGAATTTGGCGCCGCGCTGGTAATTTTTCTAGAAATAGTTTCCTCTTCGGCCAAATAATTTCGAAATTTTACAACCTTGTTTCGCAATTCGGTCAACATGGATATTTTTTCTGTACATAGTTCTTCAAGTTGTTGGGTGTACGCTGTGGATTAAGAATAGTTCATGATTAAGATTTAAAATATATAAATTAAGATTAATATATGGCAATTTCAAGGACGGATTTATTTAGGAATCATATTCCGCCACGAGAAATTTTGAATTCATTGGTAACGCACCATCTTGATCATAGTCGACCTGGTTGGTCATGATGAGAAGGGCCTTGTCACTATTGAGCCAGCGGTTGTTCGAGTCGACGATAATCTTTTGAAACTCGACGACCTCTTCTTCTGCCTCCTGTACCTTCGAGATCGTCTCGTGAAACGTCAACATCTCCCCAGACATGTCTCCCTCCTGCAAAATCCAGAAATAATTAGTTTGTTTTGCAAATTAACCCGACTAATCTCCTCTCAATCTCATTATTTCACATGTCATTCGTTTTATAATTTTAGCTTTAAGTTGAACAAAATGAATTTGTGTAGCTGATATCGTAAATAATTTGCATATATTTCCATAAATAATTCTCACATTCAAACTCCTTAAATGGGCCAAATCACTCTCGCTGTCCATCATGTCTTCCTCCTCGTCATCATACTCTCGCTCTCTCCGATTCGAAATCTTCTGCGCCTCTGCGCTCGCTGGATCCAGAGCGGACAACTCCTTGACACGATTTGCATATCGCAACGTATTTAACGAATGTTCACAACTGTTTAATCCTGGACTCATCATTGCAATCATGCACGTTTTCGATTTCTCTCCAATAAAGGAATCTCTCAAAACTTGGGTCAATTTAGACACACGGAACGGCAAATGTGCCCCTTTTCGTCCCAAAGCACGGATACATTCCTTCAACGCGAGGAGTGACTTGTTGATCTCAGCGCCCTCCATGCGTGTCTGTCTATCAGCGGAGGACGTATCTGCACCACGTTCATTTCCCGCGAGATCGATAAGACTGAATTTTCCGTGAAGCTTCGCCATCGGAGTGCGGAGAATTATTTGAAAAACGGCATGAGACCTGGATGAATTCGAATTTGCGGATGTTTGACCAGAAGTGCGGGCCGAGTTGCCGACTTGGATGAGTTTCAAGACGTCTTCTACCGTTTCAACGGAACGTTCCGTTAATCCGACGACTTGCACTTGCTGTTTGCCGTCTTCAAGGACGCGCAGTTTCGCTTTCGAAGCGAGTAAATCAAAAACCTGAAAAATGGAGCAAAGTTAGTAATGCAGTTAGTAGCTATAGTGGTGCCATGTTGAAGCCATGGCGTAGTTTGGGGAAATTGGTATGTGCTATGTGTCGTAACGACATTTAAACATCCCTGCCTCCTCCATGAGGACGCACCTTGCCACTGTAGATTTCGAAGAATGAGCAGGACACGAGGAGAGCCAGGGGGCGGTAGGCGGGAAGGTTCAAAAGGCGAAACACATCCTTCGCCGTCATGGCGTAAATCCCCTTCACACAGTCTTGCGTTTTCCCGTTAAAGTCGCCCCCCATCGTATGAGTTTTCCCGCTCCCTGTCTGACCATATGCGAAACAGGTTGCCATCCCCCCTTCAAAAATCGTCTGCACCAAGGGACGCGCCGTGTACCTGCACACATACACACAATTTTTAGACTCGTACTTTACTCGGCATTAAGCTTGGGAAAAAATAGTTAACAGAATTTTTTTGCGAATCATGAGCGATCCCGCGAATTCCAATCCAGAAATTTCGTAAATTATATTGAAATGCTTTCATTGTTGTAAAGAAAACACTCCAAACTCAATTTAACAAGTGTATAACTTTCAATTCAATAATTGCAAAATAATTAGAAGATTCGATTCGCTTGTAATCAATCATTGTGTTCCATATTTTAACTGCTCTCCACTTCCGGTAATTTCACTCACTTGTAGACCATTTCATTCGTGCAGGACTCATCGAAGGCGTAGTCGTAGCGGAAGTGCTGATTTTCAAGGTACTTGGTCAAATCCACCTTCTGCTTCGGCTCGTGCACCGTCACCGTGTTCTTCAAAGGCACCGTAATCACGTCGACTTCCTTCCGGTTTATTTCTAAACAAATAAAATAATGGACATTTGCATACAAAATCCAGGTCAAAGGTCAAGGTGAACTACCCACCCTTCTTGTTCATAGGCCTCTTCCTGACGCAAACGGTTATTTGATGATCTTCCACCGGATCTGAGTCACGTAACGGCGTGATTTGCAAATCTTGTTGGTACTCTCTGCAAATAAAACGGTAATTAAGATTCTTTCAAAATAATTGGTGACAAATTTTCAGCCAGTTTGCAAATAAATTTGATTTCGTAGTTGGAGTTACTTCGACAAATGCATAAAACTGGACTAAAAACTGGTCCTCATTTTACTCTACTCACCTTATCATTGATAAAAATTCCCAGTTCGGATTCCCCGGATCGATATTCATTAAATTTTCTTTTTCATTTTTTAACTCCGCTTGACGCATGCGCCTCTCTTCTCGATTTTTCTTTAACTTTTCAACCTCTTTTACGACATTTGACCTCCGTCTGGACGCCGCGGCATCCTGTTGACTCCCGCGTGTTACGGTGCCACCTGTCCCGTTCGAAGAGACTTCCATAAACGCGTCATCCTCCACGATCTGTGGAGGTGGTTCGATCCTAGTTTGTGGCGGAAGTGCGGGCGCCACGACGTGTTGGGTGGCTCGGGTACCGCGTGGTATCCGTCCTCCCGCTCCAACTAGGCGTAATGTTTTAAGAACCATGATTAGCAACAAATTGCAACAAAATCATTGTATATCGTAACCCTTCTTGGACCATTTTGAACAAAAACTGTTTGACCCAATAACTGCACAATAACTCTTTTCTGCACAAAATTTGCACACAAATTCAATAATTCTTCCCAATTATGGTTCAAAATTCTCACAATGTAAAGTTATATTTTTACAAAATCGAGCTATGTAAATCAAGTCACCACCAAATTTTGGCCGAACATGACGATCTGATCGTCCAACCTCCACTAAAACTATGCCTCTTCTCTCTTCACACACAATAACAAATTAGCTTTAGAATTTACCATAAATTACAAAAAAAATACGATCGCACCGGAAGTTCGTCAAAAAAAGATGACGAAAAACCTCCCTGCTAAATATAAAGGATGTGATACTTTCCTACCACGTCAACTTTATCCTCCTGACCCCCCAAATCGACACAACATTCATCCTGCATATCCCCCCTTCTGACAAATTTGCGACCAAATGTCACTCACTCACCCGTCGTGTGCTCTCCTATCGCCACAATTGCAACGATGACCATTTTCCGTTACACTCAAAATAACAAAACAATCTAAACTTTAAACTAAATTTTAATCTCTTTAAAAAACATTCCCAACTCCACTTTACTTTACTTACTGAGACGTTGTCTTTTTCTTGTACAAGAAAAATCCTAATTGTCAAAAGGTGCGAATTCAAGTCCATGCGGAGCCTGAAAAGCTTTCATGTGAAGCTTTATTATTATAAAAAAATCGTCTTGTTTCACGCACTGCTTAACATGAGCGCAAAAAAGTAACATTCATGACATTTTATTCTACATAATCATCTCATCTAATCTGCTGCGTATGCAGGAATTTGAGCACACAAAAAAACAAAACTATCACCTGTTGTTCTTCTCTAGCAAAATTTAATCTTTAACGAGACACGCAAAAAATGGGGATGATTCCGCATTTTTACTAAATCTGAAGAATTCTAGGTACAAGAAACGCATCTTCCAGCTAGTGACAGGATTTACGATATAAAATAGGAGCAGATTTTTTAAATAATGAATAGAATCGTGTTCTAATCTTAAAAGTCACAACTTTAAAAAACAGAATAAAATTATAAAATTCCCATTTCATAATTTAGTTTTTTACCTGTAGTCCCGTTCCCTGCATTCAGCTGATTCTTTGTCACGGCGGCGGCAGGAATCTGAAACAAAATAAATACACTAATTATTCATTCAATTTAAACAATAATGTTTTTTTTCAAAATTCAAAATTTTGATCACACCCTGACCCCGCGCGTCGTCGTCTTGACCTGTTTCTTATTGTTGGTCATACTTAAACCCCCGTTGTACCTACAACTGATTTCACTACTTCCTTCTCCTCAAAGTCATCAACCTTTCCCCACATTCATTCTCACTCCAACTTTCTCTTCGTGTGTACATGTATGCACACACAATTTTGATACACTCTGAACAATGTGGTAATAATTTATTACCACACCTTGTTGACTAGATTATATAATCCACCGATCTTATAAAACACTTTATTCGGGGTTTGGTACCTCTATTCAATTTACCGCAAATTAATTAAGAATCGGCTATACACATTCACGCAGTGGTAATGTCATTTCTTGATTACCGAATTATTTAGAGTGTACTTCTCAAAAGCAAGTAGTGCACGCACAAACAAATCCGATACCTAACTATGTGTAACGAATAGTTGTGCAAATTTGTCATCGGCTCAGTTTCATGACACGGAGAAAGCAAAACATTCCATCACCCGGGTAACCAACTTTCACGACGAGTCTGATTTTCAACGTCATCTCTCTCACCAAATAAACCATGAAAATGCAAACAATCAAATAAGCGAACAAAGTATACACAGAATAATCAATGCAAAAAGTCCAAATAAGATTAATTATGCAAACAAAAATACGATACGGTTCTCCTCGCACATTCAAAGTAACCAAATGAAATTCGTTAAATAAATTCCTTTGAAAAAATTTATTTAGCTTTTGCTAGTTTTGCAAACCAATTTGAATGCAAAAATACAATAATCTCAACATATCTATGTTACCTAACTTAAAAATGTGACATATGTAATTCGTACAATTTTGATACAACTTTCTATAATAAACTCTACATTTTTTACACTTACCCAGAACAATTTGGCACCTTTATCACCACTCCCATTATCATTAATTCCATCCCAACCAAGCTTAGCATGCGCGTTAAGGAACTTTTCACTCAACTTTTTCGTATTCCTGGTTTTTTTCTCAAAATTACAATTCCGCATGAATTTCCCCCCACCCGAACAGTTCGAATTGGAAAGAACGCACAGTTTCTGAACGTTTCCACCCGCGCTAGGAAAAACATTGTGAAAATTCCGAGTATAATTTCCACCCTCGAATGTTGACGAAGTCCAAATCGGCTCGACCTTCTTTTTTTCAATCACGGGACTGATCAATTTCTTACTTTTCGGTTGACACCACGTAGCTAGTAAACCACACCAGTCAAACATGCCGAAATTTACAAAAAATCTGCTTGAAGATCACTTTCAACTCGAAGTACAAATTTTCATGCAAGAAATAACTTAGTCCATTCCTGGACAATTTTATCATAGGTTCGATTTCTTTGATTTCTAATTTACAGAAAACCTCGGAATTTTTACTGTAATTTTTTATGGACAAAAAAACGATATGTTCAGAATTATTTACTTAATTAAATTACACTTTGGACATTTATAACAGAAATTGAAGCCATGAAAATTTCACCCCGGAAATTTAACACTGTTCTCCCACTACACATACTAGTAAATTAAAACTGAACTGTGTCCCACACCGAGTCAAACTGACCAGAATACCGGATATTGCGAGAAAAAACAACACAATCTATCCAATAATATCGACTAACTAATATAAATTATTCTCAGCCCTGACACCGATTTATTTCTGGGCATTTCAGTTCAGAGTAGAAACATCCACGATCAAACTTTCCCCAGCACAATCTCACCAACTGAACTGATGTGATGTAACTCTCCAGTCCAATAATCATATCATTAGAAAATTGGAATTGAATATGTACATTCACCTCTCCACTCAGGAGGCGTGCATAAAGCATGTGATCTATATGGAAAGGGGAATATTTAGTAACTAACACATAAGGAGTGTTGAGACTGTGGGGTAAAATTCCAATAAAACTGATCACATGCTTAACGTACGATCCCACGTCAGACAATACGTGACGGAACAAGGAAGTAAAACCGAATTGGGTGAAAGTTTATGAAACTTTGCAGAAGAAATCGAATCGAATCGACAAACCGTCAATGACATCCTCCCCACTAAACAAAAACGGGTTAGTGCAGTTCACAAATAAATAAATAACCCTTACCGGCGTTCTCCTTGTCAACTAAATTGTTCCATAATCGTCCCATAATTGGGACACTATTTACCTACATCAAACAACCTCCAGGAACAAAAGTGCACTTTTATCATATCAAATTAACTCTTCTGTAATTGTCATTTCCCGTGTCGGTTGACTAAGAAAATCCATGTAATTCAGCGCGTCTTTTCAGTGCCGGGTCTATAAATAATTGATCTCACGTAAGTGTCGCTGTCACACCGAGACATGATTATCCTTACTTAAGTAAGTAGGTACGATCAATTGGAAATGGTCGAATTACCCAACACTACCAAGTTCCATTATCTATTCATCAATCAATTAAATCATGCTCTACATACAGTTCCGTGTTCCTTCTTCTCAATATAACTAACCCGTTTCATTTAATGAAATTAACTCCAACTCAAACATTCGACATTTCCACTTCAGTAGACAAGACCTACTTACTTCAAATGACATAAGGCAACAAACCCATCTAAATTTGTGTCCATCACTCTCAAACCAAAATGGCAATCTGAATTCCAGGATTTCAATATGTCCCCTTATTTGTCGAGGTCGACTCAAATCTAAGGTTTATTACCGTTTCGTCATTGTCCTCAAAACCTAAGAAGAACAGCCATCACCGGAAACACAAACCGGAATCACAAAGTCGCAACTTTTCTACACCCATAATTTCCTTGCATTACACCCAACTTTTCTTCCTTCTCTCTCCTCTCATCTAATCCTAAGTGCTAAATTATACTCAAAATCTGTCAATCCTTGTTTCCACAAAGTAATAAATAAAGAGCAAAGACCTCTCAACAAAAGGCATCTTATCGATCCATCCATTCCAAGACTTTCACCACGACAAACAATACCTCCGGAGGTACATAAAGTTTAGCTAAGTAAATAAATGCCTTAATGCCACCACCAGTTCCTCTACTATACTAAACACACAAACTTAATCATAAAAAAATATTGGCAAAAATTATGCAAAATATTCCTTACTTTTACATCTTTTTGTCTCCCCATGTCACTTGGCGTCACGTAAAACTTTTTTTTTTAGTTAACACTGAAATTCCACAGAAAAATTCCAACCACAGAACAGTTTGGTCTCCCTCCTGGCCACAAATTGTGCCCTACCTACCTCCACACGTCGTTATAAGGATAAATTTCCCATCCAGGATTTCATGTCCTGATAGACATCCTGTCTTGTGTCATTATTCAGTCAACTTTGTGTATCAAATAACTACTACTTTTCTCCCCTAACTTTCTCCATTACTTTCTCCATCCATCCCAATTTCAGCCAATAAATAAAATAGGTACTCGACTTGTCCTTCACTTCTACTTATTTGTCCTCACTCACTCATGTCGTTTCGTGTCGATAGGAAAGCATAATGGACAGAAAATTGCACCGTCTCTCTCTATCCCTTTCTCGATGACAATACAGGTTGTAAATTGGTCATCAATATTGCAGTAAAAAATCCCATTAGAAATTCCATACAATTCCAAGTACCACACACGACACGACACGCCATCATAGTCTTTGCCCTTCAAAACAACATTCACTAACTTACTACACACGACAATCACTCATTTCCTTCCATTACGATTCATAATCATCAATTAATAACTCAAAAAATGTTGTCCAGCATTTTCTCTTCCCCTTCAGTTTAACCTTGATTCCAAACTTCAAGGACAACACAGGAAATCGATTCAACTAAAATAATTTAGAACAAAATGACTAACGATGAGTCAATATGTCAATTTAAATCGATAACTTGGTCCGAATTTCAATTGAGCTGGAGAGAAAAAGCATCAAATATAGTACACGGTGTATTATCAGGGTCCAAGGACAGATGACGTAGTATTTATGCAAATATTTTGCGACTAATGGAATCCGGTTAACAGAACTTTACGATACTGGACCAAATGGGCTCCGTACGTATTCCTTCCCAAACTTTTGCAAACATTTGTAAACTTGCCAACTTTATAAAGTTAACTCCCGTGAATTGCATTCATTTAGAAAAAGTAAAAAGAACTACCAAATACCTTAATACGTAAACAAACTACCAAAATTAATTCACCTTACATGCTACATATATCGAATTTCATAATTACATCATCATTATTTACTCTTTTTTACTCACATTGCGATCCGGCGGTGGTTTCATATCATTTTTGCCCCCTCGACCACCTCCACCCTGATTATTATTCTGTGTTGTCGTCCCATTGTTGTAGTTGATATTGGCCGTGACATTGTGTGGGTCCACGAGGGTTTGATCCATCGCCATGATACCGTTCGTCATGGTATTGTTGGGAATAACATTTTTCGTCGTGATGTTTGGATTTAGGCCTGTAAGAGCTTCAATGTCGATCTGGAATGAATTTAAAAGTGCTTTTAGTTACATTTTTATCAATATTTACACAATTTAAGGAATAAATCATCCTCACCTCTTTTCCTTTAGTCTCATTTCTCTCAAACCACTCTACCGTCACGCTTTTCGTCTCCCAATTTATCCCGGAAACGACGGCGGTGTGGACGCGACCTGCAAAAATAATAAATTGTCTGTTAGTCATCCATCCTTACACAGATGTACAAATCCATTCAAGAAATTAAATCAGACTCAAATTACGACCAACATCAACATCAACATCCCAAATTCCACATTCCAAATATTGATTACGAACCGGTCCAATTTTTCTTTTAAAAAACTTCCCCACCAAAAGAGAACAAGTTGCTGACCAACTTTAAAAATCATCATCATAATAAATAACACAAGAGATCCAAGAAGACGAACAATTACAGTTAAAACAACCATTTAATTTAAATAAGTCAAATTTGGCATCAATAACTAGACATCAATTTCGTGAAGAAAAGCATAACGAAACTCTAGACAGCTTTTTACTCATTTGAATCCCAAATTTATTTCTAATTGGTCTCATTCTCGCTATACTTACGTAATTACTAACTGACGGATGACTCATGTTTGGGGTCATTTAAAGATCATCGTACCAGGAGGGGTCAAAATTCTGATTCATCACATCATTTATGCATGTTCCATTATTTAGCTTAATTTAAATGACTCTCGCTTACGAAGAACCGGGGTCATTATTCGCACGCTAATTCTAATTTTTAAACTGACCCTGCCACTTGCAATTGACCAAGAATGCCAATTTTTTAAGAAGCAAAACTGGACTGGAATAATCTTTAATTTTTTCCTTAGTCGAGCCAACAATATGGAATTTATTGCCCACAAAAGGCAATCTTTTTAATTTTGGCGATATGATACGGAATTTGTTTATGTTTCTCTCTCACCATAAATTCCACACTACATCGTGTCACCTACCCTTACGACCTTGTGACCTTGGACTTTTGTCCCCTAAAAAAATTGTACAAAAAAGTGTTTTCTATTTCAACCCTCCTTTTACACCCACACTGCTACCGGTCATTATCTTATGCCACCACAAAATTCGACAGAAATCGACCAAACAATTCTCTCTCATGCAGAATAGCCCATCTTATAAATCAAATCGCATAAAATCTGACAAGTGAAGGGCGAATTTCAGGTCAAAATCAAAAGGTTGGTGCAACAAATCTCGAAAAACATTGCAAATCTGCCCAAACCTCGGATAATTTTCTTATTTTCAAACCCCAAAATAATTTTCCTACGTCCATTGTCTACTTTTAGCTTTATCTTGTGATGTCCTTTCCTTTACAACAACGAAAAAAATTCGTAAAAAAAATCCAACCAAATCTCTTTCATGTTCATCTTGGGAGTCGAATCTTCTCTCGTAGAGCACCAATGACCAAATAAGGTCATGATTCCAAGAACACTACCCTCACAAGTCGGCCCACACTTGCATTGCATTCGCCATTTCTATCCAAATTCGCAGATTATGTATCCATCCATCCACCTCTTACTAACCTCACCTGGCAAATAAGTATGAAATATGTCTACAAATTCTGCAAATGAATGTGCAGTCGTCTTGATCTTGAAAATGGATATTGAATCAATCAACGATTCTTCTCTCGATTTGGGATTGATGTCAGTCTTCATTTAGGAAAATTTAAAAAAGGAAATTTTCTTTGATAAGGAGATGATTCAAGGTGACGGGGCCATAATTACATATTTTGGAGACACAATTTCAATAGCAGCTGTAATTGTTGTAAGCAACAAATGAATAACAACAAACGCTGCATATTTTGATACAATGCAACTGTGAGTAATTCCGTGGATTATTTGTGATTTCGCGATTAAAATTTCAAACAGGAAGGTAAATTATGATAAGAGATTGTTAAACTAAATATAATGTTTCGTTTCATGTATTATCTAATTTTGTCGCTACTGGAACTAAATCCCAAGTCTTATCTGACTTTCAAAATCGCTTCGTCAAAAAATTCATTATAAATAATTATCATCATTCAAAATATCTAAAACTTGCAACTATGCATCCCATCTATCTTATCACCTTATCCAATACACATTAATTCCTATCTCGAAGGTCCTCACAAAGTCACAAACATGAACGATAGCTCTATAATTATTGCTAATCTTTGATAACTCGTAATTCAACAAGTCCACTCAGAAATCTAAAAACTTAAAAAACATGTCCACAAAATCATTACCCCTCCTCCCCCTTTTATTATTAACTCGATCTCACACCTCCTCCCACTCCGTTAATAAATTAAATGACCAATTAAAAATCAAAACTCACCATCCGTCCTCTTAATATTGACCTGCATCCCCAATCCGATCGAATAAATGACTGATGCCTCCATCCTCCTCCCTTATCAATACTTTACTTCCTCCACCCTAATTTCAGGAATCCAAAATTATCAAAGTTTCCGTATTTTATTTCCTCCTCCACCCTGAGATCAACTTAAATAAAACTGAACCACCCCGTCGTCCGGACTCACTTCACATTCACAACCACAAATCCCAATCCGTCCTCCTTACACCTGTTTAATTACGCCAATTAATAATTTTAAACTTGAACTAAACTAACAAATTTTCAATTTTTCGTGAGGATAAATATTTGACAGGTGTTCCTCTGGTTCTGTGGTGAATTGCAAACCAACGGCCAAGGAATGGGAATGAGTTCACAGTGGGGCACACTGACTAAACGTTCAATTTAGTCAGTACGATTGAGGGCCGTGCAGAAATGACAGAGCAGATTTTTGCACATAGCTTTGACCCATTTTTTTAAATCAAGGGCCAGGTCAAAGTTCGAGATGTGACCTGACGTCAATGTTAAGGGGTGGGAAAGGGTGCCAACGAGCTTAATGCATGACCGCCTCAAATTGGGTGGTGGTGGTTGGTTGACTCATTTCTTTGTCTCCACGATTACTACAGCGAGGATTTTCAGATTCGTGCAGAAGCGAATAATAACGCCATCTCATCAAAACTAAGGGTAAAGTTTGCTAAATTGTTTGGTAATTTTTGAAAATTTTGAAAAATTTTCGGAAAATTTTGTACATTTTTTAAATTTACCTAACTGAAATTAGGTTTTAATTAAATTACTTAACTGCAAACAATTTAACTGACCATAATGATAATTAAATTATTCGTAAATATTTCTATTCGGTGTAATCGAAAGGCAATTTTTTTCATGGAATGCTATTTTGTAATTTTATAAAGTTTATGTATCCACAAAGCTTGGTGTCCAAACTTATTACAAGCTTTTTAAATCCGTAAGGTTATAAAAGAAAATTAAATTAAAATGTAATGCGGTTGATCAAAATATGCTTGTGAAGAGATAGTAAATATTTTATTTTAAATCCATGAATTTTTTAGTACATATGTCTGCATTTCACTGTATTTACCATAAAATACTTTTCATGCAATACCAGAATGAAAAATAAGTACTTTTCTGTAATGCAATAAAATGCACACAGTTTCATACACTCGAAATAATTTAAATTTCCGTAAAAAACTTTAGAAGATTGAATTTATCAGCCAGTTTGATAAACTTTACCATATTTTTCCTGCAGAAATTCAAAATATCGTGGTTCTTACATGCATACATTTCAAAAATTTGATTACATTACATGTTAAATCAATAACTGCCATACCGCATTATGTACATAATGAATGATAAGGTATAACTTATCAAATGGGAATTCTGGATTCTCCGGGGAACCACGAATCAATTGATAAGGTATCAATTAATGTCACTTGACCAATAGTCCATCAAATAAATCACGGCAGTCATCTCGCTTCCAAACAATTTTCCCAAGTTTTACGAATATTTCCTAATTTCACTTAATCATGTCTTTAACAATTTCATTCAAAGGGAAAAAAGTTCTCGTCACTGGAGCAGCTCGCGGTATGTATACATATATTTCCCAAAAATTTTCAATTATTTTCAAAATATCCAACATTTGTTGCTCAAAAATTATTTTTAAATTATTTCAGGTCTCGGTCGCGACCTTGTCGCTTCCCTACATGCACAAGACGCCATAATTATCGCTGTTTCTCGCAATCCAGACAACTTGGCGAAATTGAAGGCCGAATTTCCAAAAATTGAAACTATTGCCGCCGACGTCTCCGACTGGGAGGGGACGAAGACAGCTCTCACCGGAAAGGTCACCGGAGTCGAGTACCTTATCAACAATGCAGGCGTCGTTCATGTCGAACCATTCTTAAACGTCAAACCGGAACATTTCGACGAGTAAGTCATGTTCTTATCATACCCAATTTCGAACCCAAAATGGAACACCTTTCTACAAAGCCAGTGAAATTCGCGCAAGTTGGCACAAAACGAAAGCCGCAAATTTCACCAATCTGCTGGTTGCTAATTTTTTGTGCTATGTATATTTTAGTATAAAGTTTTGACTAATTTTCTTGCTTATCGCACAGCATGTGGGACACAAATGTGAAAGGAGTAATCAACGTTAGCCAGATCGTTGTGGAGGACATGATTCAACGGGGGAAAGGTGGCTGTGTCATCAACGTATCATCACAGGTACTTGTAAACACTTGAATAATTAATTATCTAATTTTAAAATCTAGGGGTAAATAATTTTACGGACAATTTTCTGAAAGAAAGCGTTTTATTCGTTACCGTTTTCCAAAAAAGTAAAAAATATTTTGGTAGGGTAAAATTTTAATTTTACATCTCCATCCTTTCATACTTCGATCAATGCCAGGGTCATTGATGCTCATCCAGTTTAATATCCCTTAATCGTAAACTCAAAGTTTCCACCTTTAAAATTTACATTTTCAGAAATTTAAATCACTAAATTTTCCACTTTGTAACAAATTGATTTCTCACCCACAAATTCCACCACTCACCTTGTCTCATAAAATTCTACCCTTGACCTCCCTCGTATCGTGCATGCTCTTCCGCTTTTATGAATTTCCTCTTGAATCTGCCCTTGGTTCCTTGCATGATAAACAGCCTGACTCCAGTATCCAACACGAGGAGCACCAAGCGCCTGACGGTGTCAACCACCCACGCCGACAAAACCAGATATCCGATCGCTTTAACAAGACGCATCAAATCCGACCCGGTGGCGAGGACGCGTCCATGCCACCGAAGTTCATGACCCATGACCCCAACGCCGGCCAAAAGTAATAGGCCAGCTATTTTGATAGGGTATTTTCGTGTCACGTAGGAGAAGGTCAAGAGGAGGAGGGATGCAATTATTGACATTTTGCAATGAACAAAAATTGTGAAAATTTTGCAATATATTTATTTATCTTCACAAATTGAGCAATAATCGCAATTTGGAATTTCGCAAACTTTAGCGTAGCAACATAAACTACTAGTAGGCCAATTTTTGCGAATCTACTTGCTCGATGCAAATGCATGCAAATAATTTTCTGTCGATAATCCCATTTTTTCAGGGTGCGAAAGTTGCTTCCCAATCGCTCGGAATTTACGACACGACGAAAGCTGCGTTGGACATGTTGACGAAAACTATGGCGGTGGAGCTTGGCGTTCACGGAATCCGAGTCAACTCCATCAATCCCACAATGTTCGAAACGGATATGACTAAATCCTGGTTGGAACGAAATCCTGGCGGCGGGACGCCATACCTCGACCGTGTCCCGATGGGCAGGATGGCGGAAAGTTGGGAAATTGTTAACGCGATTTTGTTCCTAATGAGCGACAACGCTTCATTTATTCATGCCGAAGCTCTCGTTGTCGATGGAGGTTTTACGGCAAATTAATTCAGTAAATAATTGACCAACGCTGTATGAAAATATTCATAAACATTTATGAAAAAACATTTATTCAAATTTTAAAATAGAAGAAACATTTTGTTCGAAATAAACACATGCGAGAACGTATTTGTAAAAGTGCATAATTGTTAAGTTTTAATTATTTTGCTTCGTTTCAAGCTAGTCTGTCCTTAAAAATCACATTGAACGGTTTTGGCGTCAGAATAAAGGACAATTTGGACTCGAATCCATGATCTGGCCCATTTTTGTCAAACTCAATGTCGAATCTTTGTGCGATGTTAGTTGAGAAGAGGAAAAGGCTGTCTCTCGCCAACGTTTCTCCCAGACATTGCCTCCTCCCAGTCGAAAATGGAATCAGGGCGTCGTGCTTCTTGAACGTTTTGCCATCCGGGCTCAAAAATCGTTCCGGTCTGAAATTCTCGGGGTCACCCCAGATTTTCGGGTCAAAATGGATATGGTACACGTTTGCCGTGATTACGGTGTCCTTTGGGATGAGATAACCCTTATATTCCTGATCCTTCATGGCTTTGTGCTGCACTCCTTGAGGTGTAATAGTCGAGAAACGCAAAGTTTCAGCGATTAAGGCTTCCGTGTACGGCATACTGGAAAAATTGGTCAAAGTTTAAGCTAATTACTGTTATGCAATCTTTAGGACAAACCTTGCATATATATCAGACATGTTCAGAAAAATTAAACATTTTGCAACTTTATATTAGTAAATGAACTCCATCAATTTTGTAAAGTTACCTAATTGAAAACAATAAGTCTACCAGATTTTCATTTTCATATCAATTTATAACATTTTTGCCGTTAAAAAGCATGTACATAGGCACTTATTGCAAAACGTTAAAACAAATTATAATTCATGTACTCACTTTGGTCTATCTGAAACTGTAATTGCCCTCGTATTCCCAGTAATAGATTCAATTTCCGATTGAAACTTTTTCTGAGTTTCAGGAAATTTAGTGAAGTAAAGCATCATCCATGAAAGCGTGGTCGCAGTTGTGTCAGTTCCAGCGAAATATAAATCGCCCAGAGTGGTGACTAGGTTGTCCACTAATTGACAAATAAAACATCAGCTAATTTCCACTAGAATATTGAAGAACGGGCACTCAAATGTGCATGGGCAAAGCATAAGTATACCCATCTCTTTGTCCATGTAATTGTTTAATCTTACCACCCAACTTCCCCATAAACGCCGAATTTGGATCCGTAGTTTTGTCAATCTCTTTTAAAAACGCGTCGGTAAAATCCCTGCCAATTTGTGAAAAAATAAATAAAACCAAAAATCATTTAATTTTTCACATTACTGATAATTTCTCACCTGTCAAAGTCATCCTGTCTCGTCTTCTGATGATCAATTACTGGTTTTCGCATGTAATCGGCCAAATCGGATAGTGCCCGTTTTATTTTATCGTATCCAGTCCACCCTGGGAAAATTCTTACGAGCCATGGCATAAATACGACGGCACCCCCACCATCCAAAATTCCTTCGAATGCACTATAGCACAAAAAAATGGAAAGAAATTATAAATTTTTAAATCAAAATGCTCAAAAATATTTAAATGGGACTAAAAAATGTAAATACTATTTTGTATATAGCTTTTAAAATAATCTCATTTCCTTTCCAACCTAAATGCGAGTGTTAAACTCCAAACTTAAATTTTGGAAGTTATGAATTTAAACAATAAGGCAAACTCTTTAGATGATATGCAAGTAAAATGTTATAGTAATTACGAGGTTCTTCATAAAATTACAAATTGTAATTTTCCTCAAAGGTTATTCCAACTTTCTAACTATTGACTATACAAAATTCACACACTTCCAATCCTTCCCGTATATTACGGCATGTTAACTGCACCTTTAATTGATCAACTTTAAATTTGTAATCTCAATTTGTGTCTAATTGTTGAGAAAAACATTAACCTGCTAAATTTTACACAATTTCTGTGCATTGGCTAACAATTTATTTTTACAAACAATTAAACTTCCATTATATGCATGCACAAAAAAATTCCGTTTCCACTCACTTGTTCGCCTTATTCGACATGTCCAACAATTCCTGATCGTTCTGCTTGTGCCTTATCCCCGTGCAAATTGCCCACAACGCGTTCACAACCGCAAGCATAAGTCTCTCCTTTATGTTCTCGACAGGTTTTTCGCCATGCTCTTTAAGACTGTCGATAAGGTCACGAACTTCCAACATGATGGAATCCTCCATCGTGCCCTTCCCGAAACCAAAGTCGCGTAATTGTCGCAGCGTGAATCGCCTAAGTTCCTCCCAATGTTCGCCCTCGGTGCTTATGATGCCGTGCAGTTTGCCGTCGAAGATGAAGTCAAAGTCTGCAAGGTCCATCCTCCCAGAAAATGCGGATTCAGAAAATATTTCCTTCACCATTTTGTAGTCCGAGACGACAAGCATGCTGAGAAAGAGAAAGCATAATAAATATCATTGACATGACACAATTCACTCTGACATTTGTAACCCAGTAAATTTATTACAAAATAAAGAGATATGATCTGTCCTAGCGTAAAATTGTATTTATAACTTAATTTTTATTAACCACTGAAAACTTGTGTAAAATTATTTTTTAACTGGGTTACAAACATATGGGTGAATTACTTCACGTAATTGTTAATTCTATTTATGACTTACTTTAATGAAGCAAAATTTATTTTATACAAAGGCCCATATTCCTTTGCCCACTTGCCAAAGGTGATATGTTGAAATTTGTCCTATGCAAATATTAAGAGAAATATTGTGTGATTCAGATAGGTCAATTTTCGACAATTATTCCGATTTAAGTGAAAGTTTTCTATTAATAATTGTTACCATCTGGAGCATATTTCCAATCAAAGGCAACCCACGAGGCCCTAGATAAATGTTACATTATTAGTTTTTATGCATTTACTAATTTTTGCATGAAAATAATTGACACACCTGGAGGAGCATTTTTCCACCTGGGCTTCCTTAAAAAGACAAAGTAAACCAGTCCTGCGAGTACAGCTCCGAGAGCTATCACCGTTCCGGAGACCATGCTCAGGTCAGAAGATATCACCCGTTTTCACAAGGATCACTTGGAAAATTCTGGAGTCAAATGACAGATCAATACTGTTGATGAGCTGACGCTAACACTGTGTCTCACAATTACAAGTAAATAAGTATTTAGAACCAAGACTGTGTGCCTTTATACCAAACAGCACTGATTTTACACCTGCGTCACTAATTACTTAGCATCACATTGAGTCACGGTGCACTAAAAGATCTCACGTGTTAAATAGAACCTGCTTCTAAAATATGATGAAATTTTTTGTCTCCTTGGCTGACAGATCTCGAGAGTATCTGTATTGTTCGGATTGTCATACTCATGTGAGTTGAAACTCTCCTCAGTCAAGGTTATGTAATTATCAGACAGTATTTACAATATTTCAATGTGCCATTTATATATATGTATGTGTATGTCCAGCAAGAATAGTGATAATTTACATGCATATGTGCATACCACACAACTTGTGACTATTTTTTACTGGCATGCAATACAAAAGCGATATAAATATCGTAAGCTTGGCTACATGTTATAACGCATAAGGTACTGATTAATGTTTTTGTCCAGTTTGATAAACTTTATGCATATGGGAGTCCTACATAATAAATGGTTTGATAGAAAGTAATATTGATGGCTTGGCCTAAATAATAGGCATGTAACCCACAACATGCTTTGAGAAAATCTGAAAAAATTTATGTACATGCATAATCAATCAGATGAAGAAAAATTATATTACGTACCACAACACGGTGCTAATTGGAATGTTTTTTGTATTTATTTAAAAAGTCGTCATTAATTGAAATAATTACACAATCTCATCTAATTCACGTTACATTAAAATAAAATATTTGTTTCTTAACTCCTTCCTAACTTACGCTAATCTATCCTTATAAATCACGTTGAACGGTTTTGGCGTCAGAATAAAGGCCAATTGTGACTCAAATCCGTGATCCGGTCCATTCTTGTCGAACACAATATCGAATCTTTGTGCGATGTTGGTTGAGAAGAGGAAAAGGCTGTCTCTCGCCAGTGTTTCTCCCAAACATTGCCTCCTCCCAGTCGAAAATGGAATCAGGGCGTCGTGCTTCTTGAAGGTTTTTCCATCCGGGCTCAAAAATCGTTCCGGTCTGAAATTCTCGGGATCACCCCAGACTTTCGGGTCAAAATGGATGTGGTACACGTTCGCCATGATAACGGTGTCCTTTGGGATGAGATAACCTTTATATTCGTGATCCTTCATTGCTCTGTGTTGAACTCCTTGCGGGGTAATGCTCGAGAAGCGCAAAGTTTCAGCTATTAAGGCTTCCGTGTACGGCATGCTGGAAACAAGTTGCAAATTATGTAACTTTTCTAAATTATTTTGCGAATTTTCCCTAGAATCGGTAATTTTTAACTTGCAAACTTAATAATTATTAAGTTTGCTTAAATTTTTTAGACTTTGTAAAAATCATTTTATTTATTTAAATTGGAAATTAGTAGATATTTACTTTGGTCTGTCTGACACTGCAGTTGGCCTCGTGTTTCCAGTAATGGACTCAATTTCCTCCTGGAATTTTTTCTGAACGTTCGGAAATTTACTGAGGTAGATCATCATCCAAGAAAGCGTGGAGGACGTGGTGTCCGACCCAGCGAAATATAAGTCGCCCAGGATTGAGACAAGATTTTCCTCTATTTCAAAGCCAGTCAAATTATTTAAATTCTCTGAAAAATTGCTATTGCTACTCGTAATATTTGTACCTCCCAATTTTCCCATAAACGCAGAATTAGGATTCTTAGTTTGATCAATCTCTTTTAGAAATACGTCGACAAAATCCCTGCAAATTTATGAAAGAAAAATACAAATCCATTTCAGTTTGCATCAATTTTTATATATTTCTTACCTATCAAAGTCATCCTGCCTCGTCTTCTTGTGGTCCATTATTGGTTTTCTCATGTAATCGGCGAATTCTAGCAACGACTTTTTTACTTTGTCGTACCCACTCAACTTTGGGAAGATGTCGATCAGCCATGGCAAAAATAGGATGACACTCCCACCCTCCAAAATCCCTTCGAATGTCCTACAAAATAAAATTATGGAACAATTCAAAACTTCTTTCTATCATAATTTGTTCCTACATATACAAAGTTGCAAAATTGCGTATTTGACCATTAATTGGTCCTTTGTTAAGTTTGAAGCTACACGAAGAAACTAATTTCGATTATATTAGTTTTCTAAGAGATCATCGGAAAATAGTAATTGCTGGTATCTAACCCGCTATATTTATATTTATAAAATTCTTCATGTACTATTTCTAATCTAAAACCCAAAAAATTCAACTATATATTTCCACTCACTTATTGGCTTTCTCCGTCATGCCCAACAATTCCTTGTCATCCTGCTTGTGCCTTATCCCCGTGCAAATGGCCCACAAGGCGTTCACGACGGCCAGCATAAGTCTCTGCTTGATATTATCGACAGGTTTTTCGCCATGCTCTTTAAGACTCTCGATAAGGTCACGAACTTCCAACATGATGGAATCCTCCATCGTGCCCTTCCCAAAACCAAAGTCGCGCAATTGTCGCAGCGTAAAGCGCCGAAGTTCTTCCCAATGGTCGCCTTGCGTATTGATAATCCCATGAAGTTTGCCGTCCATAATGAAATCAAAGTTTCTGAAATCTATCCTCCCAGAAAACGCAGAGTCGGCAAAGATCTCTTTGACCATTTTGTGGTCCGAGACGACAACCATGCTGAAAAGAAATCGGTTAACGTTTTTGATTAACAGCCTAAATTAACTAATGCCACTAAATTCCGTAATTTCTCAAGTACCCCAAATTGTGTCAGAAAAATTATGCTTTCACAGTTATCTATAGTTGGTGAAAAATTACAAAAAAGTTTGGATTTTTAATAGCAAAACTGGAATTTTCATCCAAAATAGATAGAAATTTACATATGAACCTATGTAAATATGGAAATATGGAAATTATGTCGAGCTGATTATATAACTATGATGTGTGTAGCCCTATTTTTTTGCAAACTAATTTTAAAAAGTTTACACATTCGACAAACACTCGGGGGAATTTCTTGGCGTAGTAATTGATTTTAGTTTGACTTACTTTAATGAAGCAAAATTCACTTTATACAGCGGCCCGTATTCCTTCGCCCACTTGACAAACGTGATATGTTGGAATTTTTCCTACGAAAATAATTAAGGAAATATATATGTATTGTGTGATTCAGTTCAGGCAGGTCAATTTTCGACCATTTTCTACAATTTTGTTGATTAACTTGAAACTTTTCTATTCGTAATTACCATTTGGTGTATATTTCCAATCAAAGGTAACCCACGAGGCCCTAGATAAATGTCATACCTCTAGTTGTTATACAATCGACTAATTTTTGCATGAAAATAATTGGTCAGCATTGAAATACCTGGAGGAGCATTTTTCCACCTGGGCTTCCTTAAAAAGACGAAGTAAACCAGTCCTGCCAATACAGCTCCGAGAGCAATCACCGTTCCGGACACCATTTTAAGAAAATTTCAGCAGATTTCTAACTCCGATTTTTTTTTAAATTACTACCAATATGCAAAACTTGAACTTGTATTGCAAGCTTGTCTCTCAATTCTGACTCGGCCAGGATCGTGGATGTCCTTTTTATTTGTATCGTCTCATGCACGTCACTCTCTCAGATATCAGAATGTATTACTATCCATGCACAGACTGATCAATGGTTTTACATGATAAGCACGGCACAATGGTCAAATAATAACATTTAAACAAGGTTGTTATTGGGGTCTTTTGGCACTTTCAGAGTGAACTTTGTTGGTTGTCCCAGAGTAAACATGTAATATGAATGTATGCATGTGTATTAGTGGCTTTACATAAGTCACGAATGCATGCAATGATTAAATATGCTTTCACATAAATAAAAAAATATGAGGATGATGTACACGCTTTGGGTCAATTGGCATTTCGAGAGATGAAACTCGTTGATCAAACTGATATACTCATGCAAAATGCAAGATTTCTCAAGGTTATGCAAGTAAATATCTCATTATTACGACGTATACAAGTCCAGCAAATAAGTTACCTAGTGAAAAAATTGCTTGCAGTATTTTTGGCTGTTTTCTGCTGACGAAGTGTACACTTGTGCAATTCGTGAGTAAATTTTACGCCATAATATGGTTTTTGTCATGTTTTTGTTTATCTACAATACCGTAGATTTAATACGTATTTAAGAATAGGTTTATTACGATGGGGTGAATTAATAATAAGCGCGATGTGTTTACAATATGCAATCTTGATTGCGTTTCTTAATGTGCATTTCGGAATAATGGATTGGAATCATGTACAAATGCATAAGTAATTGTCAGAGAATTAGAAATCATACCGTCTTTCGCTACACATTAAATTCCTGAGTATTTATTAGTTATGTAGCTGGAACTGGAATGGGATTTTGCGATTTGAGACAAGAGTGACAAACGACATTGTCTGTTTTCTAGTAAGATTACTAAACTTAATTGATAATTTCAGTTGTAGAAATGTTAATCAAAGGAAAAAATAATTTTGGTGATGCCGGCGTCGTAATTTGTATTTATCGGAATTTGTTAAACGATTTATAAATGAAGATAGTTTACTTCTCAACCATATGTAAATTTTAACTAAAAAAGAAGTTATATGTATTATATATATGCGTCATATGATTTGCACAAGTTGTGTCAAAGCCCATTAACGCTGCCTACATTAAAGTCAATTTCATATTACGCAAACATTTAATATTCTTAAAAAAATACGGAAACTCGTGGATGTACAAAGACAAGCATACATGTAGAAAAATTATGCCAGATATCAAAATCGGTTGATAATTCAGATATTTTATTTATTTATTTATTTTGCAGGTCGCTCAATAATTGAAATAATTGCACAATTTAATCTAGTTCAACTCACCGAAAGAAATAAAATACAATATTTGTTTGCTAACCGCATACGATTTCTTAACTTACGCCAATCTATCCTTAAAAATCACGTTGAACGGTTTTGGGCTCAGAATAAGGGACAATTTTGACTCAAATCCGTGATCCGGTCCATTCTTGTCGAACACAATGTCGAATCTTTGCGCGATATTGGCTGAGAAGAGGAAAAGGCTGTCTCTCGCCAGTGTTTCTCCCAAACATTGCCTCCTCCCAGTCGAAAATGGAATCAGGGCATCGTGCTTCTTAAACGTTTTTCCATCCGGGCTCAAAAATCGTTCCGGTCTGAAATTCTCGGGGTCACCCCAGATTTTCGAGTCAAAATGGATGTGGTACACGTTCGCCGTGATAACGGTGTCCTTTGGGATGAGATAACCTTTATATTCGTGATCCTTCAGCGCTTTGTGTTGTCCTCCTTGCGGTGTAATGCTCGAGAAGCGCAAAGTTTCGGCAAGTAAGGCTTCCGTGTACGGCATGCTGAAAAAATTGGTGAAAGTTGTTGATAAATCTTGAGAACATTAAAAATAGGACTGTGCTCAAATATGCATATAGCAAGGAATTATTTTCTTCTCTGTTTAAAATTTTTACATGTTTTTGCAATTCTATTTATGCGATATTACAACGTTGCAAAATTTGTCCCCAAATATCCTCGCTCTAAGATGTTTAGATTGCAGATATAATTTATACATATTGCTAAATTTTCATTACAAAACCCCATAATTTTCTTAAAAGATCTTTCTTTTGCCTTGTACATATGTTATTTGAAAAGTTTTGTCAGTTAGGATTTTAGCTCAAAATCATGTACATACAAACTTCGTAAACTGTGTAAATTCTCTAAAACTCGTTCCCCAGAACTCTTTGGTATTTAGGAAGGCTTTGGCTTCCAAACTTCCAACTTCAACTTGGATTTTATATGTTTTACAATTTTTAGATTAGAAAACTTCGTAAGAATCATTACAATTGGAATTTGTCACTCACTTTGGCCTGTCTGTCACTGAAATTGACCTAGTGTTGCCCGTGATGGATTCAATTTCCGCCTGAAATTTTTCCTGAACGTGCCGAAATTTGCTGAGGTAGATCATCATCCAAGAAAGCGTGGAGGACGTGGTGTCCGATCCAGCAAAATACAAATCGCCCAAGACTGAGACGAGATTCGCCTCTGATTCAAAGCCAATCAAATTATTCAAGATCCAAGGAATTGGTAATTCTACTCGTAATACATACCTCCCAATTTTCCCATAAACGCAGAATTAGGATCTTTAGTTTTATCAATCTCTTTCAAAAATACGTCGACAAAATCCCTGCCAATTTATGGAAGAAGATAAAAATTTATTTAGCTTTCAACATCAATTTTTCCATTTCTCACCTGTCAAAGTCATCCTGCCTCGTTTTCTTGTGGTCAATTACTGGCTTTTTCAGGTAATCGCCGAATTCTAGCAATGCCCGTTTTACTTTGTTGTATCCACTCAATTTTGGGAAGAGGTCGATGAGCCATGGCAAGAATATGAGAACAACCCCAGCCTCCAAAATCCCGTCGAATGTACTACAAAGTAAAAATGTGGAGCAATTCAAAAATTCTTTCAAACCCAATTTACTCCTGTACAAATGTAACAAAATTTCGCAGCATAGTTTTCTGAATAAATGTAAGACCACTCAATTTTGACTCGAGTTTTCCTATAAATTAGTGAAGCAATACATTTGCACGTTTATAAACTAAAAAAGGACCACCACGACTTGATGTGCATAAAATTCATATGCAAACGAGTATGCAAATGCATAGCAAGTTAAATTGATCTTCAAACAATTTTTTAACAAGCTAGAGAGCGACATCTTAAAGAGTGGAGACGTGGTGGTTGAGTATCATCGGCTATAAATCGGTTATAAATATATTTCTACCTTGGTATTGTAGCGCTTTTATTAGGTACCATTACCTTGTTTGGAGCTACTGAGCGAAGAAAATTTCTGTTATCATGCCATCATATCTCCTTGATTATTTGGAAAATTGTGTTTACATCACTTTAGTCACTTTACAGATTACAGATCACTTTTATGGTAAAAGTGATCTTGTTGCGGTCTATGGGTCATGGAGTTTGCAAATAATTAAATCAATAAATCGATGAAACATGGAGCTATATAAAAAATTTTAAACTATGTGTATTTTATGCATTATAAAGTTTTTTCGGTTTCTCAACTAAAGCCTATAATTTGCCCAAAAATTCCGATATTTTCACTCACTCATTTGCCTTCGCCATCATGCGCAACAATTCCTTATCGTTCTGTTTGTGCCTTATCCCCGTGCAAATTGCCCATAACGCGTTCACAACGGCAACCATTAGTCTCTCCTTGACGTTATCGACAGGTTTTTCGCCATGCTCTTTAAGACTGTCGATAAGGTCACGAACTTCCAACATGATGGAATCCTCCATCGTGCCCTTCCCAAAACCAAAGTCGCGCAATTGTCGCAGCGTAAATCGCCGAAGTTCCTCCCAATGATCTCCTTCAGTGTTGATGATCCCATGAAGTTTGCCGTCCAGAACGAAGTCAAACTTGCTAAAATCTATCCTCCCAGAAAACGCAGAGTCGGCAAAGATCTCTTTGACCATTTTGTAGTCCGAGACGACGACCATGCTAAAAATGGGATAAAGTTTTTGATTAATAGGTCAAATTTATTTAGAAATAAAGTAGGTTATTTATGTCTCAAAAACCCCAAATTTGGTCAGAAAAACATGGCATTCGCATCGTTGATGAAAAATTAAGGTAAAAGTGTGGATTTTAAATTGCACAGAAACACGGCAAATCGCAATTACATGCATTTACACATGTAAATTATGTCGGATCACTCGGATGTTTGGATCCAAATTTTTTGCTAATTAATTTTGCAAAGTTTACACAGTTGACCGTTGACAGGGGTGAATTACTTCAAATCATAATAAATTTTATTCATGACTTACTTTAATGTAGCAAAATTTACTTTATATATCGGCCCATATTCCTTGGCCCACTTGCCAAACGTGACATGTTGGAATTTGTCCTACGCAAATAATTAAGAGAAATATTGCGTGATTCAGGCAAGTCAATTTTCTTAGATCAAATAGAAACTTTTCTAAATTGAGTAATTACCATCTGGAGTATATTTCCAATCAACGGTAACCCGCGAGGCCCTGGATAAATGTCACATCTTTAGTTTTATATAATTTACTAATTTTTACATGAAAATAATTTCGTCAACATTGACCCACCTGGAGGAGCATTTTTCCATTTGGGCTTCCTCAAAAAGACGAAATAAACCAGTCCTACCAGCACAGCCCCGAGAGCTATCACCGTTCCGGACACCATTTTAAGAAACTGTGGTCCGATTTCTAAGTTAGAAATTTGTCAAATACTACTAGTATGCAAACCCGGAGAGCTTCACTCTCAACTCAATTCTGAATTCGCCAAGATCGTGGATGTTCTTTTTATTTATTTCATCTTGTGCACGTCACTCTCTCAGATATAGAATGACCAATGGTTTTATACCTAAGCACAGCACAATGGCCAAATAACAACATTTAAATCTGGTTGTTATTGAGGTCTGTTAGTACTTTCAGAGTGAACTTTTTTGTTCCAGGGTAACTATGTAATGCGAATGTAATGGTTCTACATACATATCCATAAATATGTGACGAATGACTGCAACGACCAAACATAATGGCACTTGCGCATATTTATACATAGACTTTGATGTTCACGGTTTGGGTCAATTGGCAGTTGGTGAAGTGAAACTACTTGATCAAACTGATATAATCATGTAAAAATGCTATAATTCTCACTCAAGGTTATGCATGTATGTATCTGATATTAATATTATAACGTACATAAACATACGTATCAGACAAGTTTAGCCAAATGAACTTTTAATGAAAGAACTGCTTGCAATATTTTTGGTTGGTGTCTGCTGACAAATTGCATGCAGATTTAATGAGGATACAGCAGTTTACATTTTTCCATGCGGATTAATAATAAGTAAGTATTTACGAGGTGTGTACAATGTATTTATTTACATATATCTTAATTGTGTTTCTTGACGTACACTTTGTTGGAATGACGTACATACATTTGCATAAATGATTGTCGGAGAAAATGTTATGCAAATACTTATTGGAGGCGTTGATGATAAGTCCATTTGAATGTGTTGATCCTCCCTCTGGGGTCGATTGTATGGGACATCGTTGCAGTAGTCGACCCCGCGTTTCACGTGGCTGGAAAAGTTTCCAAAATCAATTTCTGAGTATTTTTTAACTAGGTGGGATTTTATATTTCAGACAAGAGTGAAAAATAGCAGGATTATCTTTTTTTTCTTGTAAGATATTCAAATTTAATTGATAATGCTAGTTTTTTAATGTGCGTGTTAATCAAAAGAAAAATAATTTTTGTGCTAAGTTAGACGTCGTAATTTGTATTTCTCAGAATTTTATAGAAGTATTCACAAGTTCAGGTATAGTTTCCATTTTAACTTTAGCTACATAAAAAAACCAGGATTTTATGTGTCATACAATTTGAATAAAATAAGCTATTTGTATCAGTACTTCATCAAATTCAATGTTAAATTACGTATTTAAAATACTTAAAAAATGGACGTGCAGAGAAGCGTGGACGAAATAAAATTTTTAAACTCCAAATTCTGTCTAAAAGTAAATTACTATTGCACATGCACTAGATACATTATACATACATACACCAAGTTGGGTTTATTTATTTTGGTATGACATTTATTTACTGATCAAAATACATTGATTTTTAGTGTTAATGTAAAGCAATATAGATGCATATATGGTGAGTTTTTATATGGTGAGACGGGTGAGACTATCTGTGAGCCAAACTAAATCCGGACCATACAAACTTTGATAAGCCATCTTTTATCCAAGTCCGGCGTAAATTGAACTTTTACATAGCATGACAGCTTTGTACGTAGGTGAATTTATCGGGCAAGGACCCCTGTGGAACTGCCCCTGATATATGTAAATATATGTAAATGTGGATGATACGGAGGCTCCGCCACTAACACGTGAACGTTTATGACCTTAAATGACTGGTTGAACGGCTTGGAGTGGAGGTCCCGAACATGTTCTATGTGAGAGCCCTTTTCTCGAACTACAAGTCGACATCGGCGATTCCAACTTTTGTACACTGATTTGACCATGGTGAGGTCAACTTTAGACTACTAGTCTCTCAAAACTTTCCAAACTCCGTCAAAAGATTTTGGGTGGCGGAGAAAAGCATTTGTTTCAGATATCCAAAGCCGAAAAAATCCATGGGACTTACATAGGGTGAATTAACAGGTATTTCACTATTTTGGATGATTGTTATCCCGAGTCTAGCTTTTAAGTCCTTGGCGTAATCCTGGGTCAAAAGGGCGGTGTGCGATGACGCTGCGTCGTGATGAACTATCACTTTATTTGTGTCCTAGCCATATAGTTTTGGAAGATGAATCTCCAAAAGCGGTTTTAAAACAAAGTCAATGAAGTACTTCGCAGTTACCTTCACTTTTTGTGGAACTTTGATAAGTGGGAGGAGACCACGACCAGATAATGCACCAACCACCATGAACTTGTTGCAAAAGTTTTCCGTGTGCGGGATGGCCAATCTTCTGGAATTAATTTCTCCTTTGGTTGTATAGTAAATTTGTCTCTGACCGTTGGTATCTTGTAAAGAAAATAATTCTTCATCCAACGACACTAAACAGTCACTTTTATCTTTTGTCAGGTAATTCACATAAATTATTTTGCAGGTCAGACGACGATTTTTTTTATGCTTCTCAGTCAGCTGATTGACTTGCATTTTTCTTCTTTTTTGCTTCCCCAAAACTTTAATTGCTCGTCGCACACTAGTCTCTGACACTTTGGTTAGACGTGCCACTGCTCTCTGGGGTGGTGGGTTGTCCTCAGAGGTCAATAGGTCAATTTTCTTAAGCACGGGCCGAATTAGCACTTTTCGGACTCGTGTTTGAGGCATGATGGTTGTCCTGTGGTACGAGCTTGTCGTTATTGACCTTCTTTTTTAAGTACCTTATGTATCCTTCCTTTCAAAACTTGTTGTCCTTGAGTTTTAAAGTGGTTAATTATGTCTGTGTACGAAATATTAAGTTTGGAAAGTGTTTTTATGGTACCCTCTTACTCAAAGGGCAATGGTAGGGTCATTTTTGAATCTAGAGAGCTAATTTTTTGCTCAGCCCTTGTCAACAATCACATGTCGCTATGCTCAAAATTTGGAACCGAAACTCCAACCCGTTTTGGAGCAATTCAAGAGTGACCGCGTTCACGTGTTAGTAGCGCATCCTGTATTCTCAATGCGAAGTTCGCATCACACCGTGATAAGATTAACGAAATCAACCAAAAATATCCAACTGTCCACTTCCAATATCAAGCCTGTCATTCGTTCACATCCAGACTTCAACGTCGACCTCAAAATCATAATTTCCAAACGTCTTTCAGTAAAATCAAAAATTGATTTTGTTATTCGTATCCGGTAATCAGATAAAATTTGTTGCACAGCTTGTGACAAATCTATAATAATACATTCGTGTTAGCTTAAAATTTGTCGGTGTAATAAAGTAAATTTGTTACTGGCGAGTAATCAAGTAAAATTTTACAGACAATTTATAACTTATCATCGGTAAAAATTTTATGCTTAAGTGAATAATTTATTTAGACTCAAAATATTATCGAAGTACAAATTCAAATATACGTTACATAATTTACTAACCAAATTATTTTACCATTGCATCAAAATAATTGACTCGAAATATTTATACAGGTTGAAAATGAGACTCATGAAAGATTTTCTCTCCGACGACAAAAATATGGATGCCCTGTGCGATAGTACGGATCTGGGTGCTACACTTTTGAATTTTTTGGAATTAAAAAAAGTTATTACGGATGAAATACTAGATAAAATTGTAAAATATTTTTCCTTTATTTATTTTACTATATTAAAGCAATTCACGCGTATGTTTGTAACTCATCCTTAGCTTCACTTTTAATTGTGCAAGCTTTGTAAAATTACAAAGCACAAATCAAGGAAGGTCGTTGACCTGTGAAAGTTTATAAATAGGTAATGATAGACGACTCGAGTGACCTGATTTTACTAAAATTTGGGTTTACTCAGGATCAGTTACGTCCAAGTGGATTGCTTCATTTCATTATAAATAAAATTTTAGTTATAACTGTCAACATATTTTTCTAAATTTTAGAACAACGAAAATGGAAAAATTAACAAGAATACGATACTGTACAAATTTTTGCGAGACTCGCGTGACGATGAAGACTTGGACCATATAATAGCTGCGCTAGATGCCAGCAGAAACAGTAAAGCGATGGCATGTTTTGTAAACTTGAGAACCAAAAAATTACAAAGTGGGGAAAATTCAGGGGTACAAAATCAAATACTTAAATAATTTTGAGAACAAGATTGATTTTTAATTAATAACCCCACCAAATCCACATTTTTTACCGGTCTGAGGTTAATTTCTTAGTACAAATTAGAATTATGGTCGTGTTGATATTTCGACAATATCTTGTTCTCAAATTATTTTTGCATATCTTAACATTTTTCTTTAAGTTTCATAAAAATTACACAGGCTTGCAATACTCCCTCGTTACCACCAACCACGGCTGTCAAACTAACTACAATGTCCATCTCCAAAATTGCTGATCTAATCGAAAATGATTCGGAAATTCTTGAGAAGATTACGACTTTGAACAAAACCTTTGGCGTTGGTGATGCAGCTGTGTCTTCTGCTGTTAAAATGTATAAAATGGACACAAAAACTGCAAATTCCCTACTTTACCAGATTTTAACCAAGTGGAGGTCAGCCAGGTATGACGCGGATGCAAAGGGGTCGCATTTTTTGGCAATTTTACAATCTGCCGGATACCGTGGGGCTGAAGGTGGGTTCTTGACGTGAAAATTATATATACTTTAATATCAATGGGACTCTATGAAGTTTGGAAATATGCAGATTGTTTTTGCAATTGCAATTCACTACAATTTACCCGTAAATTACTATTACATATTTCAAAATTGGTAGAGTCATGCATATATGTACACATGGTCACCGCCCGGTAAAATAATACATTAGCTACAAAATGGATACATTGCTATTTCTGATTTTGATTTTTTTTTCAGAAAATTTGACCCGAGCTGGATTAGTAGATGATACACAAATCGTGTAGAAATAGGGGAAGACTTGAAATTTGTATGGTTGGCGTTTGCATTTTCTTTAATTTTTTATTTATAAAACTAAATTTTCTTTTAAATAAAATGCTTATTATGTACTGTAGACAAATGTTCTCGCCAAAAACTCGGGTTTTTCAGATCCTCACGGGATGTACGCATACTTATCAATATGTTCGTTTATATAAAGTTTATTTAAAGATAAATATATGGTGTATCTAAATTGATTTTCCATCTAAGCAGCGACAGATACAGTATCTGTATGTGTCAGGCCAGGTCTCATACATAAATACGTAAACTAAAGCCTTCATATCATTGCGACAATTGCAATAAATTAGCATTCCTTTGTTTAAAGAAAGTTGGAAATATATATGTAACAAGAAACCAGGAAAAAAATATTTTATTCTAATATAACCATTTATATAGTTGATAGTCTACTTCATATATTTTCAGATAAAAATATAAATTGTTCCAAACACGTAGTTGTACACAAATTTCCAGACTTATGAAAATTGTTACTCGGTAAAAAATTTTAAAAGTGGACATCTTCTTCAACGGACATTATGGAAATTTGGACAACCTTCGATACCAAACTACGATTACAGCGATAACTTCGATTTGAACAACAGAAATTAAAATTTAAAAGTGTCTTCATAGCTACATATACATAATTCATAATATTCTCTAATTATTAAATTTTAAATCTGGCTGTTGGTCGTAAAACAATATCCCTGGTCGTCGTTTTTAAGAATTTTTGAGCAGTTGCTAAGAAATGGTGCATTATTTAGAGGAATAATTTACTGGAATTAGATCGCTTTCAACGTCAGTTTCTCGCCGGTAATTTTTTAGCCTGAGTCAGGGCTTAAGGAACCGTCATAATTTCCGTCCGTCCATCCGTCCCAAAACACGATAGAGCCAAAACGACTGAACCGATTGACTTGAAATTTTTACCATATGCATATCGGACAAAGTTAGGAAACGAGTTTGAAGATTGGCGAAATCGGTCAAGTGGTTGACCACTGGGGGTTATCGGAGTGGTCAGAGACTAAGTCCCTGGCTCGGGCTATATGGGGTCTGCACTGTAAATTATGTAAATTCAAGGAAATTATTCCTCTAAATTTTGCACCATTTCTTAGCAACTGCTCAAAAATTCTTAAAAATGACGACCAGGGATATTGTTTTACGACCAACAGCCAGAAATATTTTCTACTATGTACACAATGGACCCATGATTAGCGCACTTATTCGTGCCTGTTCTTATTTCTTGTACCAAAAATCATATTATCATGGGAGGAGAACCATCCAAGCAAACTTTCACTCCACAGAAATCCTCCGAACTAGTCCTCGCTTTGGAAAACGCTAAACCTGGGGACGAAATTATTCTCGACGCCGTCACTTATCTGGGCGAATTTACCCTCGGCGGTCCACCCTCCACGCCAACCACACCTCCGATAACCCTTCGTGGCACAACGTCCCTTGATAAGCAGTTAAGAACAATTATCTCGAGTGAGTCTACTGCAATTTCCATTTCCTCCGGAAAATGGATAGTGTCCGGACTGACCATACAAGCTGGCGAGTTAGGAGTGGAGGTGGCCGGAAGTGAGAATGAGGTCACCCAGGTTGCCATAAATTCAGAAAAGGTAGGAATTCTGCTCAGCGGCAATGACAATCAGGTCAACAGTGTCACAGTTTCGAATGGGAGTCGAGGCGTGATCGTAACTGGGGAGAGAAACAAGGTCACGTCAAGCACTATATGGGGTGATTTAAATTTAAAATTTAAGATGTAACTTACAATGAGATTGTGTGTACAACACTCTGGTTTTGTTGTAATTTTGGAATTATGTAGCTCAAGTAAATACGTACAAAGTTTTTTGGGGCAGTTTGTTCGATAGTTAAAATTTAGCAAAATTTTTTAGGTAGAAATTGAAAAATGGGTGATTCTTATCATGGCAGCCGAGTATGCTTTCTCCGCTTCGTAAGAATTGCACATTTTTCAACTTCCACCTCAAATATTTTGACAAATTCCAATAACCATCGCACAACCTGTCTGAAGAAACGTTGATTGAATTGATTTGAACTACACAATTCCAAAATTTCAATAAAATTGGAATGTTTCACTTCACACTATCGCATTGTTAGTAAATTGATAGATAATTTGTTTTTCAAAAACTAAGCATGCAGAAATTTGGTGATAATTTGCATCCCAAACGCGTAAAATTGTTCAAATTTGCCGATTTGTACGAAATCCTGGGCGTATTTAAATATCCTTGACCTCGTAAAGCCTCAATAAAATTCTTGTCCAGGGGTGGAAAATACCGGCATCTTGCTCGAGACAACCGCCTCCCCAACACTCATCGACACCGTGACGATTAACATGTCGAGTTCGAAGAGGACCTCACTCTCCGTTGCCGAAGGATGTTTGGGTGTCCACGTCCACACGACCAAGTGCAACGGGATCGCGTCCATTTCTGGGGACGAAGGGTTTTACACCTTCTGCAATTTCGACGGGGTCAACATGTTCGGAAATGGGAATGATTTTACATCCTCATCCCTGCAAATCCTCTTCGAAGCCAGTGGCACGTCTGAGAACATGTTTGAATGGCCAGGGGGCAGGATTTCAACGCTGAGCGATACTCCGTTACCTTTGCCGAAGTGATGTACAAAATTATTTAGTGATAAGATGAGTGACCAAAAATTGACGAAATTAATGACAAACTGATGAAACAGTGGACAATGTAGAAATCAACAATGATAATATGGACAAATATATCGTGTAATAAATTTCTCAGACCTACATTTTTGTCAAAAACATCGCCATTTTTTAAATTAATAATTTTTCACTTGAATCTATTTTTTGTCAGTTTCATTGTAGTTGACTCGTCAAATTATTTTTAAAAGCATTTCAGATTTCTATTTTATTTGTATCAGACACAACTCTGCATACCCTTCTGTCAAATATTGATAATTTTGATGTATGCATTATCTAATGCAGGTGGTCTTTCCTTATCTTATCAATTATATATGTATATATATATAACTTACCATCTTCAAATGGATTCTTCATTAATTACGCTTCCCTTTAAGAGGGGCCAGATCATATCAAAAATGTGTCACAATTACTTACTCGAAGTTACTGTAAGGTGAATGGTTTAAAAGTGTTATAATTTCCTGCTTTTCTGACATCACTAAAGAACAGCCCCCTTACGGACATAATAATCTGCAATCTGCATCTTGCAATGGTTTACTATATAAAAAGCATACTACATATGAAAACATCAACAAGGATAAGTCAAGTACAAACCAAGTTACTTAGGAGGGGAGCTTGCGAGGTTGATAAGAACAGATCTCGATGCCCTTTGGATATGTGGTAGGGTCCTATGAGTGTACTAAAACCCTGAAGTGGTTTGACTCCATGGCCACATTTGCGCCCGCCACACCCACTCAAAAATGTCCAAAAAACGCTTCCACTCCAGTTTTCACTCACTCAAATCCACGCCAGAAATCCAATTTTACTCGGATTTTGAAATTTCTTTCACCATTACGCTCCCAGATAGTTGCTTTCTTCAATCCAATATCAAACCCAATTTTTTCGAAATTTTTAGTATTTTTAAAATTTGAAATTCTGAATGAGGATTGTTGTAGTAATCAACAACTCAAATTACGCCTGCGAAATAATCATCAGCAAAATTGAGTTTGATATGGAATTGAAGAAAGCAACTATCTGGGAGCGTAATGGTGAAAGAAATTTCAAAATCCGAGTAAAATTGGATTTCTGGCGTGGATTTGAGTGAGTGAAAACTGGAGTGGAAGCGTTTTTTGGGCATTTTTGAGTGGGTGTGGCGGGCGCAAATGTGGCCATGGAGTCAAACCACTTCAGGGTTTTAGTACACTCATAGGACCCTACCACATATCCAAAGGGCATCGAGATCTGTTATTATCAACCTCGCAAGCTCCCCTCCTTAATAGATACATATGATTATTTAATTCAACCCAGTCCAGTATGTAGAACCGTCCACTCACATTAAATCCCACAATTTCTTACACACAGTTTGATAACTATGTACATATTCTTACTGTCACTAAAAATTGTGTCATGCATATATTTACATGTTTATCCCAAGTAAAACAAATAAGAAAAAAGTCCGTTTCGGCTAAAACGTATTCGTTATAAATACATACGTGTTACTTAAATTACGTAACGACGGTTTATTCACCCGAGATTCACTATAGAATAGTCACAACGTCTTACAAATTCAACCAACTGGACGACCTTTCCTGAAAATTAAGCTTTCTTCCCAACCGGCAAGTAAAACGCTGCACACTTTAAATGCATACATTTACTTGTAATGAAATTGTAATTTATTTCCAGAAATTCACATTTCCAAATCATGACATCGCCTCTTGAGAAATCGGACCCCAAATCCGTGCCCACACCCGACGTCGACACCAATTGTGACATCCTCCTCTCCAAAAACTTGACCGAGCCCGAATTGGACTTCATCATTTCCATTGTGCAAAAAAATTCGGATCTTATAACGGAAAATGAAACTCTAAAGGAGGAAGTCGCCCAGCTTCGTGAGGAGCTATCATCTCGTCGTCAAGGCCAAAATCAGGTGGAAGACGTGGACTCCGCATTTCTCGAGTACATCGAAAATTTAAAGGTCGAACATGGCAAAAAGTTTAAAAATCTGATCGAGTCTCACCGCAAGGAAATGGCCGACCTCAATCGAGCCCTGGATGACCTCCAATTTACCCACAATGCTCTCAAATCTGCCCACGCCGACGAGATCACTACCATCCTCGCCACGTCTGAATTGGAATACTGGACACTGACCAAGGATCACGAATCCCTCACGACTGATATGCTCGCATCCCTTAGTGCGGGGTTGGAACAGTTGCGACACGATTTCGAAAGTGATCAGGAAAAAGGGGGAGATAAATTGAGAAATGGGAATTCTGGGGTTAGAATTTGGGCAGAATTTCGAGGTTTTTAAAAAAAATCTATTTTGCTATATACAAAAACTTAAATTCTTTCAAAATGGAAATTAAATTCCTGAATAAGAACTACAATTTTGTTCTCATAGGCCTGCCCGACACTTCTCGAGCCATTATTGTCGCAGCGATTGGAACGATGTCAAATTTTCTCAAGGTCACGTGGGAGTTTATCGATTGGCGTAAGAAGCATTTTTTTTCATATGGAATTTTGGAAAAAATTTTCATAAAACTGAATCAAATTTTTATTTTCCAGTCTGGCCAAAGTTGATCGCGGCTGTCGCAGCAATCCAAACCATCGTCGTCAATCATTCCCCCGTTGTTATCGAATTTCTTAATTCACGACAATTTCAACGTTTCGTTTTGGGGTGGGGGCGAGGCGACAATTTGGAGATCTTGGTTGCTGAGCTAGTTGCTGGACTTGGAGGGGCAAATGGTCAAATGTTGGGGAAATTGACCCCGTTGGTGTTCACAGTTGTGAAGAAGTTTATCAAGTGTTGTTAAGAGTAAGATAACCTGGGATTAGTCAGTATGTATGATGCAGTAATTAGCAATTTAGGTTTAACTTTATTACCGGTAAATCCATGTAGTTGCAATTTAGTAATAAGTAGTTACATATTCTTTGTAATACATAATCTTATCTTGGAAATTCCAAGTTGGAATGCACAGTAGGCTGTGTAACTTTTGTAAAGTATTTTAAGAAGGTTAACATATGTAAGTACGTAAAGAGCTCTCTTCAATCCGTTGTCCGTGGAAGTTTGTAAAATAAATTTGTTAAAATTATGTATTTTCTAAATCTGTGTACACTTAAAATACATATTATTATAATTTTTTGAATAGATGCAAGTTATGGAGTTACCGGAATTGTTACAAGTAATGGGAGTGAATTACTCACATTTATTATTTTAATTATGTATATTACTGCTTTGTTTAGCATTAGCATGCTGCTTCAAATTTTGAAAAAGAAAAATAAATGAATCACAAATTTTTTGCAATTTCTGGAATTTGTATCTTGATCAAAGTTTTTATCTCAAATTTGATTAAGTAGGCTTTACCGTAAAAAAGTATATCGTCAATAGCTCAACATATTTCCGTTTATTATATCAGGATCACGCAAATTCAATTAATTATCTCTTTTCCGTTATCTCTCACTTCGTCATATCAAGGCCAGTTTGCATATGATGAGTACGTAATACGGCACGATTATCAGAATCAATCGATAACTGATATCGAAATTCGCGAAATCTCTTTATTGATAAAACCAAATATTTTGTAGTGCGTCATTTGCGCAAAAATTGTCGACGTTGGTACATGATATCTGCGTAATATTTAGTTCTTGGTCAATTTTTTTGTTAATATTTTCATAAAATGGGTCCCAAACAAGGAAATTATTGCTATACACTAATCTCACTAATTTGTTTGGCACTATTTATCACAATTTCACCCGTTTCTCCAACCTCGGGACAAAATTCGATGGTGATTGAAAGCAAGACGAATGAAACGCAGCGAATCTCGATCCTCGTTGGGAGTAAGTTTTCACAAAATTTCGATTTGATACAAATTTCAAAGTGTATTATTTTTATCATGTTTTTAAAAGAATCCTCCGACACTGACATCGGCCCCATGGCGGATGGCGACCCTCCCGCAGAAGGCGACGAGGACGGAAATATCGTCGACCAAGCTCCTTCTACAGGGTGGGACTATTGCCAAATGGGAAATCGGTGCTGCTACCAATTTACGTGGCAAGGTCAGTGGAAGAAATTGTTCACCCGGAAATTTGCAACCCAATACCCAATAAACTTCAAAATTTTTACACAGATCACGAAATAAATTATTTATTTCGTCAGGCAAGTTTATTGATAACTTGTACAGGTGAAGGGCATATGTGTATTTTAGCAAAGCTTGCACTATATTTTTAATACAGAAGTTACATATTTTACTGCGTTACAAATAAGTATCTGACCGAGAGCTAAATTTACAACAAAAGTCGCCACCTAAATTTCCCAAAGGTGGATGAAATGGCATTTACGTAAATATATTCCATACCACAATAGGGAAATTAACTTCTTAATCATCCTTAAGATACAAATAAATATTTCACTCCTTTGTAACTTGCGCCATCATAGGCGCAAGTTTCTACAATTACAAACAAAAAGTTTCGCCTAATTTGAATTAGATGGTCACTACTGAAACTCCTCTGATCCCTGAATTTTGCAGAGTTTACTTAAGCCGCTATGTAATCATATTTTTTTTCGTCAGGATACGTACAAGAGGTCCCGACTGAAGCTGCCAATACGACGTGCGAATATCTACGTGCTGAAAAGAAGGCTCCGGACATGGCGTGCTTCGACCCCATCGTTTACACGAGGCCAGGTAATTTAACAAAGTTCATACTGTTTGCAAGGATCGACATATTTTTGAAGCCATTCATCTTATTTATTCGACAAATACGAAGGCCTATCACAAATACATCAAATTTATACAAAAAATTTCTCACCAGAATTTGCAAGCTTTGCATAGTTGCACATCACTCAAGTTTTCTGTAAATAAGTACTCGAGCTAATTTTGTCTCGTTTAATTTCAGACGAAGGAAGCAACATAGCGAATGGCCGGGGTCCCGACGTCGTTAGATTACGAAACGACGCTCAAGAGAATAATTGGAACATTTTCTGTCCCTTGACAGACGACAAGATTTGTCTCACCCTCAAATATTTTTCTCGGGGAGCAGGTATTTAAATAGCAAATATTGTTTGTAACCCAGTCACCAGTAATCCACAAGTTTAGTTAAGAAGGCAAATTAACCGTTACACGGTTCGAGGGGTTTTTTAAACATTTGTAAAATCAATCAACACGACTCGCAGTTTACTCGGTTAAAACGTTCGATTGCCAGAATAATTATGTAATTCCATACAATTTTTGTGAAATGAATCCTCCCAAAATTTCAGGAAATCAAGTCGCAAACGAGACTCGATTTTGCGGCTCGGTCACGGAAACAATTACTGGTCAAAAAAAGTCGTCCGGTTGTTGGAAGGAGAATGCGCCTGGCTACATTCGTGAAGTTTGTGCGTGCACGAATTCGTTATGCAACACGGGGTCACCAAGGTCATTGGGGTCATCTTCCTTATCATGGCTTCTTGTGGTCGTTTCCCTTATCCTGAGAATGATATCTTCACAATCGGATGTTTAGCATATCTAAAAAATTTCGCCAAGAGTTTTTGACGTTTTTTTTAAATTGACCTCAAAACATAATCAAAATTGATGTCTTTGTCGAATTTCTTAATATCCTGGTCGCATTGATTATGCAAATTAATTACAGCTAAACTTATCTGTAATGTTATGTAATATTTTAATATTTATTAAATTCTCAAAACACAGAAATTGATTATTCGCGTCACAATAGGTTAGTCATGTAGCTTATCTTATTTACTCATCGTCATCATAATCACATCACGACCGGAATATTTTTAACAGTTAATTTTTCGTGTTATAATCATAATCTTGTCGTTAATTAACTAAACTATGCTATTGTATTTATTTATGCAGTAATCACATTAACTACGTAATGTACTTTTGGAACTAGATTTTTGGTATGATAACAAATAACAAGAAACAACGTTACAAACATTACGAACGGAACGTTAACAAGTTATCTATAATTAAGTAAACAGCTTAATTAAAATGCTCAATAAATTAACCAGCAAGTTAATCGGAATCATATGGATTGTTCATTGTAAATTACAATTTATAATACGGAAGTCGGTAAAATGCGTCACAATTTTTTAATTAAAGGCATTAAATTCAGGAATGCTGTTAAATTCGCTGTATAACAAATTTTAACAATAATTGGAATTCATTTAACGACATTCTGTCTGACAAGATATTGAACAAAAAATGAGGGGGATTTTTTTGATAAATTTTTGGAAATCTGTATCTTTTCTTGAACTTTGGCTTCTTTGGTAAATTGATTAATTAAAGATTTCAAACTAAAGATATTCCTTGAACAGAAGGACATGAAAAATTACGAGCCAATCACACTACTTTTGTTAAATGAGTAAACTTTGTAAAATTGACGAAGACTACCAACATCAGAGGACGCCATGCCATGTATGCAATTCTCATGCATGGCTTTCCCAGATTTACATATAGAAGGTTACCAACTTTACAAAGTTTACACAGACGTAGTTAACTGCCAACTGTTTAGAACTTTAAAATTAGATTGCAATGAGGGTTTTTTCTTTTGATTAGTAATTATTCTAAGAAGGTTTGCCGTCATGAGGCAGTCCAAATGGATTCGTGGCGCTAGCGTTGTTGGCATTGGGGGAGGTTATCCTGGTAGATCTCTCTTGCTGAAGTGAGGTTAAGGACGCTTCGGATCCGGGCTGCAATTAGCGCAAGATAAGTTAAAATTAGTTAACAAAATTAGTGCAAAATTAACTTCACAAATTAAAAAAAGTTGCATCATAAAAAACAAGTTCATATTCATATCCTACATTTGCTTTCAACCACGCTTCCATCTCTTCAAAATCGGTTTCTCTATGACCCTGGATTATTTCTTCCTAATAAAAACAAAAACAAAAAACAACATAAAATCATGCAAAAACAACAAAAACTAAAAACAATAAATCGCTAAAAATCCAACCTCTGTTAATTCCGGCGAATAAGCATCAAATAAATCTCTACAAAAACAAAAGAATAAAAATTCGTGCAAAAAAACCTCGCAACAAACTTGGCACACCAAACCAAACTCACGTCGACTTTTTCGTGGAAGGATTACTCGTCGTTGTCGTCTTTGTCGCCGGTGTCGTGGAACTTCTCGAGGTCACGAATTGATCAAAATCCGCATCACCACCACCAGCTGCACCAGGTTTCTGTTGAGAATGGAGATTCATTGCGCCAAGGTTTTGAATTAGCGAGGGCGTTGCGCCGCCTCCTCCGGCACCAGTTTCGTCGCCAATACCACCAAGGTCTATTAGTGGGGCGTCAACTGTATTTTTTCCACCTCCCTTTGCTAGATAGGCAGCCGTTTTGCGATCATACCGGTCAAAAAGGTCGTTCATGTCGTCATTAATTTGCAACATGTCGACCGTCAGTTCGTCCGTGGTGGGGGTGCATAGCAGCATTCCTACTCGAGATTGCATTTCTTTGCAGGTTCGGTGCAATTCCTGTAAAAAACGAAGAAATTGATGGTTAGTTATTAATAACATGAAATTTTCATGGTGAAAATTTAACGTTGAACGTTTATTGCTTAAAAGGTTAAAAATTCTTAATTTTGTTCCAGTTTAAACTTTAATCTACATTTACATTTACAAAAATTCAGGAATAACTTGCAGCTGAATGGGGCTGAACTTCAGCCCCATTGGTATTTTACTGACCTGTAATAGCTCCAAATCGGCCGGGTCCCCTCCACCTGCGGGATTTAACTCGGCTAAAATTTAAATCAAAAAAGTTATTTTCACACCCATCAATTTACTTCATTTTGAAAATCCTCAGTATATTATAATTACCCAAAATTTCCGAAAACACGGTCATATTGTTGCGCACTATGTTCAAGTCAGCGGTTATCTTGGCGATCTTTTCTCCACTTATTGGACCACCGTCGACACCGCCTAATTCGCCCACGCTCGTCGCCTCACTCATTATTAGACTTATTAGTCACTAGTTAGTTTTATTTAAGGAAGGGAGGGAAGCTAATCTGGATCAAGTATTTCGTTTATTTAAACTTCCAATTAAATCGGAAACGACGTTAAATTGTCACAATTTAAGTACATTCGAAAATAGAAGTCTTATAAGTTATAAGTTATAACTTGTCCAGTAATTACTAAAAACTTTAACTGCACTCCAGTTCACCAAACTCTTTCACTAAAACCACACCCAAATGTATCAAACGAACCTTTTTCCAAATTCTCCACCCTAAACTTTCGAACTTTCGAAAATTGAAAATTCACAAACTTCTAAAACACTCACATAAAAAAATTTACGTTATGTTCTAAATTTTCTTTTCCAATAAATATTATAACCCAACCCAATTTTTTTAATTAAATAAATTTCTCTCTCATTTACCAAGTTCTTCAATCCGCCCTTATTTTAATAGTTTAAAACTTTTCAAATCTCATAAATCTTACAAATACTCAACTCAAATTCCGAAATTTTACAAAATCGACGTTATTCCTTAACAAGTATTACAAATTAAGCATTAACACCTTCAATATTTCTTCGCAGTGCAGTAAACAAGCTACACAAATTCTCTCTTATTCTTTAGGTATTTATCTTTGTGTAATAAATTTGCACTGATTTCCACCTCAAAATTCACTAATTTCAAAACGTTTAATTCCCAAAATTTACTGAATCACTTTCAGTTTCTAATTCTTTCAAAGGAACAGATACCCCCTAATTTTTTCACTAAATTTTAACTAATACACTAAATAATTCTGTCTGATTTGTTAAAACCAGATGTACTCTAAACCAACATTGACAACTTATTACACACGAAAAACAGAGAGCTCGAGTGCAGCAGGATATATATGCAGTTACACACCTTATTATTCTCTCGTCGTCTATGCGCATCGATTTCTTCCCGTAACTTGGAGATCTCTGAGCTGCTGCGGGTTATGGAGCTTGGTTATAAGGCTTTTGTCCTCAGATTTAATAATACATGGAGAAAGTGGAGGAGAAAGTGATGGCGAAATATGTCCAAGGAGAAACTTGGGATGCGATGAAGTCAGACTGAAAATGGGATCACGTTGCATGGAGAAATTCGAAACTTATCGTGTCACAAAATGCAGAGAAATTGGAAGCTTTGTGCTATCAAGGGACGAAATTTAGGGGTATTAATGCAGTAAAAGACATAAACTTTACCGCAAATTGGCAAAGATTGAGAAAGAAATCGGGTTACAAATCTATTGCATACTTGCATAGACGAAAAGAGCGTCTTTTTAGTTGGTACAAATTTGTAAAAGAATTTCACAATCTGTGTAAACTGTGTAAAATTACACAGTTTACTGGGTCACAAATGTCCACGTGAATTAAAAATGTCTTGGAACATATTTTATTCAATATGTGTTCATCGAATATCCCATTTGTGGCAGCCTAACTCTTAATCTTTTACACCGTTTTTTATTGCATTTCCACAATTTTTTTCAAAATGGTGTGCAAGTGATCAAAATGAGAACAAAATTTAGAGTCGTAGAAATTAGGTAATTTTGACAATTAATTTTCAAAAACCGAATGGGATCACTTTACAACAATTTCTACATAAAAATCATAAATGTCAAAATATAACTTTAAATACTAGTAATATGTGAGACGAAAAATGAAATTTTTTTGCTATCAACTAAACTTCCTACTTCACATAAACCTTCCACAAAATATTAAGCTATAAAATAACAATTTGCACGTTATATAACAATTTTTAAAACTTGGTGACAAATGCTGGTAAACACATGATCAAAAATTATAAAGTTTGCAAATTCAAGGCAATTTAGATAACTATTGTTCACTCAACATGAACACGAACAATACTTACATCGTATGTATGTATGTACGACGTATAATATTTACTTAACTGGGTGGAATTTAGAATTAAAATTTCTCTTAATTACTATATTTTCATACATACATACTCACGGACCGTGCAAAAAGAACTTGGTCAATTTAAAGGGCTACATAGAAGATAAGGCGTCTTATCCTTCCCATGATAGTTATAACTTGGGGTACATGGATTCCCCAGAGGAAAATCCATCCCCTGCTTTATGTACGGTCTCTTAATCAGTGAGCAGTATACCGTTCAGATTAGCACAGATCGTAAACCAAAATATGCTTGAAACTGGTGTCCAGGGTTCCTAAAACATCGCACTTTTTTCCTGAGGTGAGGAAAGTAACCAACGGCTACCCTCACGACAGAAAAGCGCATGGTTACGGCGAAGCCAAGGTATGCCTTCAAGACAGGGTCCTAAAACTTCCGCCACGGCCACAGCTCGAACGGTTGAATTTAGTGAAAAATTGTTGAAACAAAAAAATCAGACAATTACGAAATCTAGTGTCTTTTCATCTTTCTCGTGACGAAAGTCTAATATTGCAAGAATTTTAGGATCTTCGCAACTTTAAAATGAGCCGGAAATTCAATTTTGCCATACAATGATCATGCCAGCTATTGATTTTATTGTGCGAGCACTGATTACGCACCATTTAAGATACGTTCGAGCAAAATCGGTTGAAAAATGAGAAACTTGATGGAGGTATCTGCAGCCGTTTAAGCTGCTTAATCGCATATGATAATTGCACCTTACCCATCTTATTGCTATTAGTAACCAACAAAAAATGCCAACCCAAAAACCAGAAAATAAAACTACATTTAAAAAACAGCATTCTTCGGTGAGGGTGCGACTAAAAACTTTTAAACAAGAGCATTGAACAAATTTTAAAATTTAATATTATCAACTTTTGCCTCACCGTGGGTCTAAAATGATTTTGCATTTAAATAAATTGCCACGGTGAGGTAAAAGTTGGTAATATTAAATTTTAAAATTTGTTCAATGCTCTTGTTTAAAAGTTTTTAGTCGCAGGCTCATTCCATTTGTAAGCAACACGTTTGATCGAGTACCAGGAAATAGAGGTGCTAAACCCTGCTCCCTGGTGGTGGTTGCCTGGCCATGTATTTTTCTCTCTTTTGCAAGAGAACACTACACAACTCACACTTTGTCAATGTTCCCGGCCACGTAGGAACACAGAATTATTTACTACTGTCTACACAAGCAGCCCATGTTAATTTTACCTTTTCGAAAAATCGCCAAAACTCCAAGACGGACAAAAATCGCCTGAGGTTTTAAACTTTTTTGTTTGCTCAGGCCCAAAGGCATCGATTGGCTTATCTCACTATAAGCGATTTTTGTCCGTCTTCTCGATAATAGAGTTTTTCAATGCATTTCAAATTTCGAATTTTTTCGAATTTTCGAATTTAAAAAAATGTTTTCTATCAATGAATGATCGATTAATGAAATCCGTAAATGTAACCTACCCCTTTGAATCTATACTTTGGCTACGAAAGCATTTTCAATGCATTTACAAATTTTCTTTTAACTGCTATATCTTTGCGAAAAAAATTAATTTTCAAATTTTGATTTTTATGGTATGTTTTATTTTATATCATGCATCTACTATAAGATTGTGGAAGATATCTCAAATATGGGTGCGACGACGATCGTGTGGGTTCAGATGGAATGAGCCCGCACCCTCACCGAAGAATGCTGTTTTTTAAATGTAGTTTTATTTATAGATAAATACAAAAAACTTATCATCTAGATTGACAGGTGTAACACTTATCAACCTGTGATAAACGTATACAAAAGGAAACATAAGGGTCTGCAGATAGTTGTTTAAAACCAGATCCAAAATTTCAAAAAAATTCTGAAGAAATGCATGAAAACATGATTTCTCATGACTGTTGCTTTGTACAAGTCCACTTTCAACCCAATAATACTTACATATTTCACCTAATTAGTACTTAATTAGCCTTCTTTTGCTTCTCTGATAAGCATAAAAATGCAGGCCGAGATTTCTAAAATAAAATATGTACACATTTGGCACGATACACAAATAGAACCCTGCCCATGCCATGACATAATGACGATGCGATGCGAATGCATGAGTAAATATGTATGACTCATACTCACCTGAATGATATACCTGCTGCATAATAAATAAGCAACACATACGTAGCAGAGTTGTACCCAGTTAATTAAATATAACGTTAAATTTAGTTTCATTTCGTTTTACGCTGTGTTGGGAATACTTATGTGTGTACGTACAACTGCTGTAAGGATTTAAGTTAGTTAAGTCGAGTCTTTATAAGTATTTTGGGATAGATCTGCTTATGCATGACAGATTTTTAATAGCTTTTCCACCATTTCATGCAAAACAACAATACAATGGAATGCAAAAACTCGTAAATCACTCAGTTTGACAAGTTTATGTTCATACAATTTTGAAAAATACATTCTTCAATTTGTATTGTTAAATGCATGTATAAATTATGCCTGCAATTTCCTTGAATTTATTAGTAATTTGTAAAATTCAGGTTTTCATATTTCTAAAATTTTAAAAATTACTACGTAAGGATAAAATTCATAACAAAAAAATAAGATTTTATTATTTGACAGATGCAGCCATTTCACAACGATCTACAAAACAATTTCATTAAATTACAACCTCCCACAATTCTACAAGCGGCGTCATCCTTGGATTTTTAAGATTTTTAAATCATTTTTGTATTTGCTACTTTTTTCTGTAAATCTGTAAGTTATTTGTCTTTCTTTAAATGTGTACAGATTAATTTAAGTGTTTCGCTCCCTACAATAAGATCTTGAATTTTGTCTTTTATAAATTTCTTGAAAATTGTAGTGCTTAAAGTTACGTAACTGTTTTCAAATTAAATTTTTCGTGTATAAAATTAGAAAAAAATGTAATTCAAGTAACAGACGTACACACGTCAATGTCTTTATCGCTGATATGCAAATAGTTACGTGACTTGGGTACGCACCTCCTTATTGGAATACGTACATATTATTATTACACACCTTGTTCTAATTTAGCAAATTTTTATTTTTCAAGTTTATCCACCAAAAATTCAAGCCAAGGGTTCCCAAGGGGGTAATTATAGCGTTGTGCAGAAATAATGCCATGCATTTGATTCTGGCTAAATTTCATTCAAAAAGAGAGCATTAGAATTAATACGATTAAATACTTTTTCTTGAGTTCATGATTACAATATTTAAAAAAATATTGTTTGAAAATGTGTACAAACTTTGCTTCTAAACCAACCCCATGAAAATTTTACGAGGACAAACATTCTTTCTGAACGACCATCTTTGCAAAAATAAAAATGTGACCGTATCACAAAATTTATTTTGTTCTGGTCTATTTCATTACCACGCGTGTAAATTAGGCGAGGGTGAATTCCTCGGGATGTGAACTTGTCAATTCAATGGCACGCAGGGTGAGAAGATAAATCGGCATGATAACTAAATATAATAATATGTAAATAAATGATTCCTCGATAAGGTGACAAAGTAAAATAATTCCATCACGTTTAATTATAAAGGAATTGAATTATCATATACAAAAGTTGTTAATAGTGTGATTTTATTTTTGTTTGGCAAAATTTGTTCAAATGTGTGTGGAATGATGGAATGTTAATAAATTTGGTAAAATATTTATTATTAAGCAATAAAATTCTGCTTCAAACTTTAATCGGCAATTTTTAAATCTTTGATGTCTTTTCCATTTGGAACGCTTTAAAGCCGATCTATCTTTAATAAATTCTGATGGGTAAAAGTCCAAACTAATTTAAATTGGAGTCAAAGTTGGACAGAATTGATTACACAATTTACACAATTTATTTTTTTACAATCTATGTAATCTGATGGTTGGTAACCAAATTGTCACCTATTTAGTGTAAAAACATAAAATACATGTATACAGACCTGTATTCATATTTCAACAATTTTAACATATTTTGGCTCATAATTTTAAATTTGAGTACCTAATTTTAGTTCATAGACAAATAAATTCAGAAAGAAAAATCTCGCTAATTGTTAAACTTTCTTAAATATTTAAATTTTCGAGATTTTCCGATTCCTTTGATGTTACCATACCTAAATTTGTTGTACTGCAGAAAATTTATCTGTACTTGCATTTTGCTGATATCATTATTATTATGCATTCATTTTCTTGATTTTTCAAATAACAACAAAGGTAAAAGTATGTACAGACGTGGGAACATTTCGCACGTCATTCCTTTACCTTCGTTTTATTGATTCACACGCATAACAAACATTACATTGGATTCAATTCCACTTTATTTTAGGTACTTAATTGTGTGTAAAACTTAGCATGCTAATTGAACCCTCTAAATAATCCCGTAATAAATTATCCCAACGCAGTGACAGCCTCTATCACATCAATTGGTGATAAATTTGCCGGATTTTTTAGAGTGTAAAGGTGAGTAGGGGGTCTCCCTTGGTATGCGCATCCTTATAACTAAATAAATAAAGTTAATTATAACTCCATACATATTTTAACTACGATGTAAGTAAAGGAAACGACAAATCGAACAAGTTCATTAATTCACTCCCCTCAGCAATTTGTACATTCTGCTTTTACTCTCGTTTTATTGTCTCAATTATTATGACCAGTTTCACTTTTTATCTCGAGTACACAGTGCTTATGAAAAAGAGTGGTTTATAACTTTATGTAATTTGCACGATAACAAATTTTTGAATTTATTTATCTTGTGGTTAAAATTTTATACTAAATTTTTTACCAAATTGTGAGGAAGAAATAAAGATAAGGTTTCAATCAAAGAAAATTACGAAGAAAATTTAGAGGATTTTTGTAACGTAGCGAATTCTGTTACAAAACCCTTTACATATTTTGCTACAAATTTGTAATTTCTAATAATTTTTCTGTGTTATAAATATGCACAAATTCGTGTGAAATTCATCCCGACGTTAAAATTTTAGTGTGATTTAATGTGATTCGTGTTGTTAAAAAATAATTCAAAATGGTTCCAAAACTGGGGGTAAAAACGAAGCTAAACTCTGTCCGATACGTTTACTCCCTCGTGTTGAGCTCCCTCCTTTCGAGTGCGTCTTTAGAGGGACGCTTAGAAGATGTTGACCCCATCGCGCTGACCTCGCAGGGCCAACTCCTCGGAAAGTTTGGAGATTCGAGAAATTCCAGAGATTTCATTATGTTTCTTGGAATCCCGTATGCCAAAGTGCCACAGACGTTTCATGTGAGGAAAATCCGATCGTTTAAAAATAATTTGATAGAAAAGGACAATTTTGAGTTGAATTATGCAATTTTATTCATGTTTTTAAAGTTTCGACAAGTTTTTAGTAGTACCAGTACCAGATGTGTAAACTGCATACAATTTTGAAATTTTGGATCAAGAAAAGAATTTGAAAGCTCAAAAAATATTTTTATATTATAAAATTGCGATATACGGAGGAGTAGAGTATTTTTTAAATTGTCAATATATTCTTGAATTATGTATTACTTAATTTTAATCTTTGGAAGATCTCATATACTGAATTATGGTCTATTTAATTATTGGCATCAGCCTCGTCAAATTTTCATATAACTAGTTACATACATAAATATGCAAACTGTAGGAATTGTTAAACTTAAATTTTATACAATTTAGAATTGATTGAAAAATGAAACGAAGAGGTGAAAAAAAATCACAAACTCGTCGCAGATCAAACGTTGGTCTGGTCCTGAATTAGTTAGATTGTTTCAGTTTTTGATATTTATTTAAGTCAATTTTCTTTCAATGTTCTAAACATTATAATTTTCATGAAATTGATTACATAAATTTGCTTATTTTTTCAGCCCGCAGTGGCGCCCGAACGTTGGGATGAGCTTCGGAATGCGACGGAATTTGGCGAAATTTGCATGCAATTTGACCGCATGGCTGGGAAAGTGATTGGATCGGAGGATTGTCTATATCTCAACATCTATCGCCCAGCAGTACGTAATAAAATATCAGATTTATTGAGATCACATAAGTATTTCAGTTATTTAAAGATTGATAAAATTATGCAAATATGGACAATACTAACTATGCAAAAAATTATGACCAACACGACATAAACTTGGAAACTTTCTTGCATTTCCTAATCACAAAAAAACAAAAATATATATTTTTCGTAAAATTTCCTAAAATTGCAGGACATGTCTGAAGTACTTCCGGTCCTTGTGTACATTCACGGCGGGGCGTTCGCCTTCTCTTCTGGGAACGATTACGGGCCGAAATACTTCATGGACCAGAACGTCATCCTCGTCACGTTCAACTATCGTCTGGGCGCCCTTGGTTTTCTGAACGTGGGTGATGACGCGTACCCGGGCAACTTGGGGATGAAGGACCAGGTCATGGCGCTTAGATGGATTCGCGACAACATCTACGCATTTGGCGGAGACCCAAACAGGGTCACGATTTTTGGCGATAGTTCGGGATCAGCTTCCGTGTCATATCACATCTTAAGTCCGATGAGTAGAGGTTAGCGTTGATAAGAAATAACGGACAAACTTTAAAGTTGGCGCTTCAAATTATGGTTAATAATCCTTTGTTAGGACTATTTTCTGGTGCGATTTCTATGTCGGGCAACGCCCTTTGTCCATGGGCGAATGTTCCAAACCCTAAAATTGTTTCGAAACGGTTAGCCAGCAGTGTGGGCTGCCCGACCAAAAAACCCAAATATTTGGTCGCCTGCCTCATGAATAAGGAGGCCAAAGAGATCGTTGAGGCACAACAAGAACTGGCCGTAAGTAGCCTAAATTCTGCCATAACAATCATTGTTTTTTTTAGTAATTATTTAATAATTTTAATCAGGGCTGGGACGACGATCCAATCGTGCCATTCGCACCGTCAGTGGAAGAATATGGGATCGCGAGCAATGAAGTTTTTCTGCCCGCGTCACCAGAGGTCATGTTTGCGACAGGGAACTTTAATAAGGTGCCATGGATAACGGGGGTTAATTCGATGGAAGGAGCGACGCTATATTCTGCGAGTAAGAAATTTAATAATTCAGCTATAAGTTTAACTTAACTATGATTTTTTTCTAGTAATCCTTAATAGTACCGAACTAACTGCCGAATTTAACCGTAACTGGCACAAGATGGCGCCCTTTGCGCTCGGATACCGCGAGTATCAACCCACTAACTCTCCCGCTTCTGCCTCCGCGGCAATTCGTGCCTACTACTTTGGCGACCAATCCATATCTCCCGCCACGCGGGACAATCTCACGAATATGTTCTCCGACAGAAACTTTTTCCACTGTACGCGCCTCGCATCCCTCGCGGTAGCCAAACACGCGCCCGTCTATCTCTACTATTGGACGCAGGAGGGACCTAAGAGTTGGCTGGATGTTTTCAAAATTCCGAAGGAATTGGGTATATAATTTTGAAAAAAAAATTTGTAAATTAACTTGGTTTAGATAAATCCAATTCAAAACGTCTTTCGTGAAAAATTTTAATCTAGCTTATTGATAACTTCGAACTTCATAGAATAATACAATTTTAGCCCAAATATTTTGGGATTTGGATGGATTTTAAGGATTACATTACTGATTGATTCATGAAAAGTCTTAGGCTGAGTTTGCCTCCGATTTGCAAATTTTTTATTCTATCTCACTTAAAATCGCTTAAAAAAATAGATGTATGAAGCTCGAAATTTTGTTGGTATGCTATATCCACTGTGAATTATCAAGTTGAGAAATACCGTCTTACGATAGAATACAAACCAAAAAATATGCATTTTTCGAATTTTTCAGGCTACAAAGGCGTCGTTCACTCGGACGAGTTACAATTCCTCTTCGATATGGAAACCTTTCCCGAAATCAAAAACGGCACTGATCTCGCCAGATTTTCGACACGGGTCGTTTCACTCTGGACAGCGTTTGCGAGAACGGGGTGAGTACGAAATAAGTCTTGAATAGTATCCTCCTAAAATTAAATTTCGTAAACGTTAAAAAGTTTTAAAAAGTTTAACTTTCTTCAAATCTTGAACAAATTCAAAAAATTGCAAATTTCTTACTTATCTACCAAAAAAATCATGATAGCAATTCCTGAAATATTTTTGTTTTGATTTAGCCAACCCTACAAGATTTGGGGTGAAGATGTCGTTGAGTGGAATCCTGTCCAAATGAGTGAAATGTCCGGTCTCAGTCCAGTCAAATATTTCCAGATTGAAGAAAATGCAAAAATCATTATGGAACCTTTCACCGAAAGGCTCGACTTTTGGGAGGGTCTCGCCCTCAATTACACCAATATTCACATCAGCCCTCAAAACCCTTAGCCAAACTCTGGGAACGTTACCGTATTGGCATAATTTTTTTCATAAATTTTATTTTTGCAGAAATTAATGTTACTGTTCGGTGAAAAAATTGCCAAGGATGGTAAACATTTGATCATAATTTTGTTACCAACTTATTTTCGGTATTGGCCACATTTCGATCTTAAAAGTCTCATTTAGAAAAATCAAGCAAGTCTACTATAAACTAACGTTTTAAACTTTTTGAACATTTGCTTAATTTAGGATAGCTCTTAATTGTTCCTCTAAAATTATGTACAGATTGTTGCAGAGTTATTTACTTGTTATGTCTATTTTGGGTCGTGGCACATAGTCATCGGTAATATTTATTTTTTTACTGGAATACTTAGCTTAATGACATGTAGAAATAATGAAATAAAAACCCTGGATTACAAATCTAAACGTCATATTTTACAATTTTAATAATTTTCAAAATTGATGTCCCCAAACTAGATGCATAAATTTGACAAAAAAAAACATAATTTAGAAATTTACGAACCCGTCTCACATTGCCTCTTTCATTTAATCATGTATGCAATGCAATTCAACACCGTAACAATTAGTAAATCATGCAGATAAACTATTAAAATAACCGGCTAAAATAACACGTCAAGAAACTTCAGCACAGATCCAGTTTTGAAACGTGATCGGGAAATAAAACGAGAAAATGGATCATGTTTTCTAAGCATGCATGAATCTTTTCACATTTTTTAACACATTTGTAAACAAAAAATGCAATTTTAGCAAATCTTCAAAACACTAAATATGAGATTTTTTATTACAAAATAAGTACATAAATTTTTGTTTAAAATTAAAATATAAAATACTTTTATGTCACTAATTATATTTCTAGCTTACATACATACGTAAATATATCACTAATTACTTTTATTTACGTAATTATCTTTGAAACTAAAAAGTTCGCGAATTTCTTCCTGGAGAATGATTTTCTGCCGTATTAAGCTTTTTACTATCTTCATCATTTACAAATCCAGAATTCATATGAATTTGTAAATTATCCTGTTTTTCTTGTTCATCTACTAATCTTGAGATTGAAATTAGGACGACATTTTTTGAAACCTCTGACTTAAGATTCACCTTAATATTTGAATCTCTTTTAGCGAGTGGGAAGATATTTACGTCTTTCTGAGAAGTGTTCTTATCTTCAGAATGTAAGTTATTATTGGTGAATATCTTATCGAAAGGGTTATCATCTTTTTCTACGACTTCTGGGGTTTGATTATCAAGTGGAAGCCCCATAGTTTCCGCCATTCGAAATGCGATCAAGGAACCACCCACGCTAACGGCGGCAAACGTGAAAAACGGCAGGGCGGGCCATCTTACCCCTAGGTAGGCTAATTGTGGGGTCAAAATTCCCGCCATGTTTGCCGTAATCCCGCCAATGCCCATTCCCATAGTGCGAACCGCAGTGGGGAAGGATTCTCCAGAAATTAAGCGTGCCGCCGAGCGCGCAGCTGCCATACCGAATTGCCCCAGGAGGCAAAGTGAGACTATCGCGGCGTTGGGGATATTTGAATGTTCGACGAATACAAGGGTGATGGCGAGCGCGACGAGAAACACGGCGCAGAAGGTCATCGAGGCGAAGAGGGCTTTTCGCCGACCGATAGAATTATTTAAAAGGAGCGCGCTTCGTTGTCCAACCGCGTTCGCGGCGCCCATGAAAAAAACGTTGAGGTAAATGTTACCAGAAACGTTTTTGATGTTGAAGGAAATTCCGTAATACGTAAGCGACCAAGCGAACCAGATCGCCATGTTGTATAGCGACGTAGCGCGGAGGGCGGGATCCTTAACAAAGTCGAGATATGTCCATCGTTTTGATGGGTTTGAGTCTTGAGGCGATTCCCGCTGTTCAGATTGTATTATGTGATGCAACATAGCGGGAGATATGGTAGGGGTTAGGTGAGACTTGCTATTCATGCGGGCCATCGATTTCAGTATGTTGGCCGCTTCGTGGACGCGGTTTTGTTTAAGGAGCCAGCGCGGGCTCTCGGGAACGAAACTGAAAATTTTAAAATTACATTTTAAAGGCGAATGAAAAATCAGAAACAAAACAAACAGAATTATAAACAGAAATCAGAAAACAGAACAAACAAATTTTTTGAAAAATAAAAATTTGTTATACCAAAACGCCACCAAGTTTAAATTTATTTAACTGTTTAGCATAAGAGCAGAAGGTAATTTTAAATTCGAAAGCTAAGTTAGCTTTCGAATTTTAAATTATGAATTATTTGTGCAATTTTTGTAATTAAGAAACGTTTAGGAAGCTCACTCAGAATTTTGCAACCCAATAAGTACAAACTTTTGACAAGCTTACTAATATTTGAAAGGAAACCAGCTACATACAGACCTATGCGGTGTAGTTTTAAACTTGTGCAGTTTTTGTAAAATGATTTTACAAAACTTCCTGAATTTCAAACATGAGTGAATTGTCTGCATGCCTCACTTTAAAAATGCAAGCTGAATTATCTCTGGGATTTTAAAAATTGGTATTACACACGTAAAAAATAAACTCACGGATAAATAACGACGATAAGAACGAAAGGTGCAACGGTTGCCCAATATAACGTTCTCCACGGTCTGATAAGATAGGCTAGGAGGCTCAAAATCATGATTCCCTCGCCCGTGGGGCCGATACAGTTTGAAAGTGATCTCCACTTGGTCGGCATGACCTCAACCACGCCAACTAAGGTCACGTTCATGAAACCTGAAATTATGTTTTGCAAGTTTAGCATAAAAACACAATTGTACGAAATATTCTTAACATTCGTCTATGTTTTTCAATTTTTCAGAATTATATATTTTGCGAAGTATTAAATACTTGCAAATTTTTGCGAATATAAAATATCATTTCTTCTTAGGTGTGTTCATTAAGGTTAAGTAAGGTCAAAAAAGGTCGTCTTACTTGTGACTCCAGCCCCACACAAGAATCTTGCAAGCGCGTAAATATATGGATTTCCCGCCAATGCGGACATCGTCGACCCCAGCGAAAGGAGCAGCGTGGCTGCGAGGAAACCATATCGTCTCCCGTACCTTTAAGTGTTTTTTTAATATCAGGTTTTACCCAAATACGTCTGGATGTACAAATATATGCAAAAATATCCTACCAATCTGCAAACTGAGATCCGAAAACGCTCCCAAAAAACATCCCCAGCATTTGAATACTTGTTACGAAGTCGAACACCCACTCCTTCTCGCAGATGAGACCCCACTATTTCGTAAACGACTTAAAAAATAGTTGGGGAAATGTGCCACTAAATAATCGCATATTTCTCACCTGTGCAACAATGGAGTCCTCCACGAGGACATCGAGTGGAGTTATGGCGTCAGTATCACAGAGTGAACACACCTCGCTTAACGACATGGTCACATTATCACAATCCCAGACTTGTGGTACTCGACCTGGATACATATTGCGAAAAAATATCTTAAAGAATGCAAATTTTAGCAAATTCGAAATCGGACTTACCCACAAAAATTGGTATGAAGGTAACGAAAGCTGTCGGGACCTCTAACACGAGGAGTAAAATGAGTATAAAGAACTGATAGGCACCGAATCCTCCTTAAAAACAGTGAGAAATTATAAGTACATAATTTCGCAAAAATCGCACATTTTTCACATTATAATTAGCAAATTATGAAATTTAAAGTGCAAACTACAGAGCTTACTCGGTTACAAACGTAATGAAATGTCTCAATAAATTCTTACCCAAACTTTCCAAAATATCTTCAAAATTATTGAATTTGATATTCTCTGCATTTTTATTTTCATTATTGTTAAAAACTCCGTCCCCCGTCGTGGGGGTGAGTGGGATGACTCCAAGCTTATCATCAAACGTGCCCGATTGTCGGACAATGTCGACAATATCGACGTGATTATGTGTCGGGATTGTGAGAATAAATGGCGTCGGATGCTCTGCTTCTCGCAGTTTCTTCGTCATGATTTACACTAAACTGTGTAAACACATAATTAATTATTAATTACGAATTACAAATTAACTCCGATTTTTGTAATCCTACAAACTCTTAAACTGTTCCTCGTTTACAAAGAATAAGAAAAAAATAATAATCATTTCTTATCTTACACCGATCTCTTGCGTCACTTTATAGGTAAACCAAATTGTCAAAAAAAAATTTACAAGGTTAAAAACACCCGAGTGAACTGGATGCTCACAATTTCTTAATGACTTCTAACCAACCACACATCCTACTTGTTATTCTCGTCTGACAAAACTATTATTATTGCAAATTACGAACAAGAACAACATAATTGTAATCTTGTTTAAGAAGAAGAATAAGAATCGAAACCAAAATTTGGAACCAGTACGAACCAAAAGTTGCCTCTGCCTGACAATTAATCATTCACACATTGAATGTGTAAATACTTAAGGAAAATCAACAAACATGCTGTCGTCGACATTCTCTCTGAAAGAACAATCGAATTATTTGGACCCTATTATTCTTGCAATTGTTTGAATACTGTGTATTAAAATTTCAATTTTTTTATTTCTGCACTCTGTTTTCGCATGCACCCACGTACACAAATATTTTCGTTAATTGTTAATCCCAAAAAATTATAAAGTTATTTTTCATCCCCGTCACCCAATTCGTAATAAAATAATTTTATTTTGAAAAAATCAGGAAATGAAAATGAAAGAATTTTAATGGGCAGGAATGCTATTGACTTTGAAAACTGGAGTCGCGTGAGGTTATGTAAATGCGTATGTATTTATGCATTTAAGGCTTAACGGGAAGGGAACAATTGGCAGTTAAATGTAAAGTTCGATTAATGAATTAAGTATTTTCGTAATTTATGTATGTACTTACTTGTGTGGGTTGATAGGCGGTTGGTTATGTAAGATGAGGTTGAACACAGTGTGATGAGTTAATTGTGGAGGCGATATCTTTAAATAGGTCTCGATAAGTGGGAGCCCAGCCTCCGAATGGGTGAAATTGACGACCAGGGTGTCGAAATTGTGGGCCGTTCATTGTGGGATAATTTTAAACATATGAAAATTACGTAGAATTGAGGAACATAATATTTCATTGTGAATGTAATTATGATAAGTTTGCAAACTGTGTAAAATTAGGGAACAATTAATAACTACAATTTAGGATAGTAAACATTGATTTTGATTACTATTTAGTAATACGTCGTCAAAGTTTACAAAATTCCGGCAGGAATTTCAAAAATAATTGCATATGCTGAAATTTAATTTGTAGCTTTGTAAAGTTGGGGTTTTTATTCTTTTTTTTGCAAATTTCAGTACAAGGTTTACATGGCATGCATAATTTATGAATGTATATAACTTGACATCTTTTGTTTTGCGTGCAAAATTTTGTTACCTGATTTTACGGAGGTTACGCAGCTCGAAATATTTGGATACATTGCTTCCTTTTTTAGTTGGCAGTGCCAACTTGGCACAAATTAAAAAACCGGCATCAATTTTTACACACTAGACAAGTTGACTTTGTAAACCTTGTAAACCTCACTGGATTTAACAGGGTAACAAAGGTATTTATTAGGTTTATGACATGATCTTCATATAAATTTTTGAGTTTTTTAACAGTGACAGCTATGAATTTATAAATTACATTTCTCACATGATTTTGAACGACTTAATACACACCCTGAAAAAAACGATCAGAATTATAATTAGGAAACTAAATGATTCTAATTCCAGGATCCGATCCATTTTTCTTTATATTTTCTGATCACGTCTAATAACTGGATTGGGGCTGAAATTTCTTGACATGTTATTTTAGTCGGTTCTTTTAATAAGAAAAATGGAATTATGGTTTACTAATTGTTACGGTGTTGAATTGTATTGCATAATTAAATGGAAGAGGCAATGCGAGACGATTTAGTAAATTTCTAAATTATGATTTTGTTATGAAAGTTATTAAAAATAAAAACATATGACGTTTAGATTTGTCATAAAGCGTTTTTATTTTATTATTTTCATACGTTACTAAACTAACAATTCCAGTAAAAAAAAATATTTCTGATGACTATGTCGTACATAAATTGAAGAGGTGAGCCTTTGGAAATTGTGCCCATCTCATCTCATCAGCTCATCGACACGTAATTGGTCGACAAACAACTGGTCGAAACAGGACTACAAATAGTGACGACCCAAAGTGATTTGTATAAATTGGTTGTAGAAGGAAATATTCGGATCATTTTTGTCAAATTTTTATCAGGGTGGATCTTGTGGAAGCTAATCTTGTTCAATGTATACATACGGTTCACCTGTGTCATTAGTAATCACAAAGTTGAACCGAATGGAGTAGATCATACATATTAAAAATCATTAGTAAACCTAGTTTATCATGATGAAGTAGAACTACATACATATATATTTCTCGGAACTGTCCACCTAAATTCAGGCTAAGCTCGTGCCTCAGAATAACTAATACATATTTAGTACATATTTTGCTACAGATAAATTTAGATACCTTCTACTATCATTTAGATGGCAAAATTTCATGATCACGGGCAAACTTTTACCTTTATCCTTATGAAAGGAAGGAAAGCCTTTCCCTGTTCTTAACCTTGAAGCCAATTAAGTTTGCAATGAATAAAATATCCTGATAAATACATGCATATGAACAATTTGCATTGTTAATTCTCCTATAAAACACATCTCCACAGCCAGCTTTCTAACACAATCATTTCATAAATCACAAGACTAAATTCACCCGAAAACAAGACGATCAAAATTTTCATATATACATAAGAGTTACAAAAATGCGACAATTTTCCATCCTCCTCGTCCTTACATTAACTCTTCTTCTTCTTTCCTACCCCAACCCCACCCTTGCTCAACGCCGAACAATAAACGGCGACACCTCCGCCCCTGTTCAGAGCTGGGATGAAAAACTAAGAAACTTAATTCAAAAACTATACCCAAAAAACGGCAACTACTCCGACGACGATATCCGACCATCCGCCGCGGAGGATGAAGAAACCCCTCTCCCGACACAGGTCGAGATTTACTTTCGCGACGTCCGAATCACTGGAATCAACAGTTACTACGATTACAGAGGCGTCTTATCGTCCCGATTGGACATTTCCGCCGACCTTATCACCGAATACAGTGATCCAAGACGCACCTTCGACACGAGCGAGATCAATGGCGCGTCCTACGTCAGGATTCCAAGTCAAAGAAAAGTTTGGACCCCGGACTTGCGATGCTATAATGCAAGCAAAGCCTCCTCCACTAATTGGACAATTATTGACCCGAATTTTTACGCCAATCTGGAAATCCTGGTGAGCTCAAGTGGCCGAATTTTTAGACGGACGCCCGTCACAATTTCGCAAATTGTCGGGACCGTAAACATTTCTAGTTCTGAGGCAACCTTTAAATTTCAAATTTCTCCCCAATTATTCACCTCGGATGAAGTTAAGCTCACCTGGAGGGCGAGGAATCCGGTCGAAGTACTCGTCGCGGATGGGGACAGGTTTGCCATGCCGGTGGTTACGACGGGAATTTGTAAACGGACGGAGGACGATGGGAGTTTTGGGGTGAGAAAATTTAGCTGTGTGGAGTTGACCATTCGGACCAAGGCGAGTTATGGGGAGGCATTTTATATGCCATCGACCGCGATGCCGGTGACGGTAGTGCCAGATCCTACGCCGGCAGATTTGGATCCTGTGATTAGGTCGAAGAAAGCGTAAGATGTGTGTATTTACGATGCGATACGATGTTTTTGACTGTGTAATTGTCTGAATAAATTGTATGTTTACAAAATATTACGAACTATTAATTAACAAAATATAGAAAAGTTAAATACACAATTTGTTAGTTTGGATAACGAACTATTTAAAATAATTAGCTTAATTTGTTATAAAAAAACAATTGTAATTTGATTTGTGATATTTCAATAAAAATTATAATCACTCCGTTGAAGAGCAGTTTAACAGCTCCAGGGTTGAAACTATCTGCTCATATTATCATAGTTTTCATAAATCTTTGAGTTTCTTTGTGCAAATTAGTTATACAAATTTCAGAAATTTTACTTTATATTCATTTATTTGTTGTTGCTCATGGCCAATGAATCTGTGGAAATGTCACTTACCTATTTAGATTAATGGCAAATACGTTTGAACACATTTTTTATTTCACCAAAATTGAAATGGGACTTTTCGGCTTCATTAAAAGTTTGTCTACAGATAAGTGTTTGTGCTTTCTCAGGAGAAATAAAAAACCTCTAGGTGATTAAAACTCGAAGGGCGAGTTAAGCAGTTAATGAATTCACCCAGTTTCAACAACTGCCCACAGCAAAACATGGTTGGGTGTACTCATACCAAAAATAATGCATATTGCAATTCCGAAATTTCATCAAATGCATCCTTTTCAATAAACAATTTGTTAAAAATTAATGAAATTTATTTTAGAAAATTTACCAGGATATGTTTAAAATAATTGTTCAATACTAGTAAATTTGGCTAATTTTGGCCGTATGTTGAACAATATGTACCTTGACGTGAGTACTCCACACGTATTGATTAGGCAGCCCTTCAGACTATTTTATTACCACCGGTGTGGGTTAACTTTACGACATGTTTCTTTAACCTGCAGCTTGCCAGAGGTGAAGCTTACACGCATCCGACATAAAAACCTACAATGTCAAATGTAAAGTGTTGATCCCTAGCCCGACTCATAGTTTGCTTCAATATTTTTGTCGAATCTGTCTGACCTATGTAACTACTTAATATTATATATGAGAATTAGACGGACGGACATGGCCATTCCATAAGCCCGGAGTCGGACTAAAAATCGAACGAAATGTAACAACTTACCTGCATCTCGATACGGACTTTTGTTTCCTGTAACGTAACGCATTTTCCACCAGCGGGTTGCTTTTAATGGATTTTAAAACAGTTTTTGCATCAAAGAATAAAAACATGGCCAAATGTTATTTATGTAACAGTTCC